TCAAGATTAAACAAGGATGTAAAGTACAGTAAACGTGCCATTATATGATGCATGTATGTTTTTTTTTTCCAAGTCTTCTGAAGCCATACAATAACTACTAAAATCTCCTTAGTGCATATTAGTACAGTAAATGTCTCATAAATAATTAATTATTTTAAGTTACTATAGATCTTTTCGATTACTCAGTTTACCTAATTTACAAAACTCTGAACGAATCATTGATTCAATGATCTGGTCGCAGTACAGTAGGAAGGACTAGTACACTCAATTTTTCATCTATTTTGAAAAAAAAAAAAAAAACTCTTAAAGGTTAGAGACAGCATGATAAATTAGCAAACAATGGCAAAATAATTTTTTTTGTAATTTTTTTCTTATTTCTAATGCCACTAGACACGCTTTCCAGGCAACTACAATCACTTTTGAGAGGCCTACTTCCATTTTGGTCCACTGAAAGTCCTCAGTCCACCTCATTGATATCAGTTGTACATGACCTGCACACATGGTCCCTCAATGGCAACTGCATCAACTCCAACAACACCTACTACATCACAAATGCATATGGCGTCTGCTCTACGTACATTATGCGAGTTGGGCCAGAATGGCAAGTACAAAGTGGTAGCTGTCAACTCATTTGGCAGAGCAGGATGTTCCACCAAACTAAGAGTGAAAAGGATGTTAGATGTAATGATTATTTTCACACTTGACATGCTCAGCGGAATATGTTATTGCTACAATAAAGTGCCTTCATAAATTAAATTTTTATTCTGATTTAATTCTTTTTGATTTATTCACAGATTGAAATTCAGAGTGCTGACCCTTAGCTAGCTTGTGTATTGCAAACCAATATACAGTGAATTATTTTATGTAAAGCTACTTTGAATATGCATGGTGAAAATCACTACAGTATCGGCCTGGACGATATATAGATCTATCATTTTATTAGATAAAATCAGAATCTATGTGATAGCTATAAGACTCAAATGTGAACTGTGTTTAATGTAAATAAACTGCTTTCTGTCAACTTCTCTGCATGGTGATTTTCAACAACAAAAAAAGCATCAAAGAAAGAAAATCTGAGCACAGGTCATTACAGTTTTCCTTTATTTAACAAAAGCTTTAAGATATGATGCACAATGCATTTTTTATACCAAAAAAGGTTCAAGTACATTACCATACCACCGCAAAGATCACCTGCCCTGGGTCAAGTACAATAGACTTTGTACAAAAGTGATGAAGTTATCAATGACGCTGCTAAAAAATAAACAAATAATGTAACTAATACCTTGCTGCATACCTTGTGGTACTGAGAGGTGTTTCAGGTCGTAGGGTGACGTTTGTGTACTCAGTTTCCAGAAGTCCAGAGATGTCTCCAGGCTAACTGGTCCTTGCAATTTGCCTGGCTCCAGACTTTGAGACAAGCTGTCTGGGCATGTCAAGCTTGGTAAATCCCTGTCAATGTAAAATGAAACCTTCCCTCTGGGCTGTGAGGGAAATATGCTGCCACATAAATATATATTTTTTACAAGACCCAGCGTTCATACCAATATGAGCCCCTGAATATTATAATTATATCTGTAAAAGCTTCATATTTACATAAATCGCAATGCAATAGTCGAAAATCACATAATAACTTTGTTCGTATAAGACCTTAACCAAAAACTAATGTCTTTATTTTAAGTGCCATTTAAGTTACATTTTAATTGTCCAATAAACATGCAATATGTTCGGTCATGTTACAAGAGATCGTCATCCTACTGTAAATGGCAAGGCCAGTATAGAGCAAGTGTCTACATTTAGGACACATGTATGACTTTAATGCTAAATAATCTCTCTCTGTGGTTCTTCAACTGAAATCATAATTCAAATATTTCAGCTATGCAAAATAAGTCGGCTGCTGGGATGGAGTTCCTTATTAATCTGGTTAAACAATGCTTCACTTTCAACAGCAAGACTGAGATAAGCTTCAATTCAAAAGATAAACATCAAAATAAGATGGTAAACAACCGTTTTGCAATGACTGACATAATAGAAACCAATAAAAGTTAACTTCACATTTAGTCAGGATCGTAAAATGATATTTGAATATGAATATCTGCTTCATGGGCTGGACATCCCCCCACCTCAGCTTCTCAAATAAAAGCTTTAATGTGACAGCTGATTGATTCAACTGCATTGAAGTCTTCCATTCAGTCCACCAAATGTTCTTAACGCAGAAGCTGAAGGAGCAGCGGGATTTTAAAGGTGAGTTTCCATTTTCTTTGACATGCAACATCAGGAATAATTCACCATTAGAAATTCACAGTTCGCCTAGTTATGAATTTCATCAGTCCTTGAACTATGAACAAATAATGGAAACAAATTTGGTCAAAACTAATGATTTTCATTCACTCGGAACAAACCTGAGCACATAATATCATTAACACAATGGCAAGTCAGATGTAAATTTATCAAGTAAGTGGTCATCTACTGCCATACATCATTAATTACTGCTATGAGAATCACTCCCATCCATGCCAGCTCTTAAATGAACTAAAACATCCAAAACAACACTATGTTATATATTTAGTTGACTTGTGTACTTACATTATCCCAAAAGTTTCCAATAAAGTTTAAATCCAGAGAAATCAACTATTTTAACCAGTGTAATGGCCCGTGTCATTCAAGTGGAGATCAAGAAGAGATCTAGAGTGCCTGGGGTTATGATCACCCAGTATGTCAAGAAATATATATAAATATATATTTAGAATTTATCTGTCAAATGTTGGATAAATATTTCTAATATCGATCTAGCTTGCTGCAGTGTACAAAAAGTGCCACAGAGCAAATGCACATAGTAGCGTTACAACATAACTTTCAACACTCAAATATATTTTACTATGATTGTTTTGACCTAAAACAGCGCTGCATTATTCGTTATTAAAACGTATTATTTTAATTTGTCAAACAAAATGACCTATTTGAGAAATAATTTAGGACTATTTCATTAGAATGAAGTGAAACAAAGTGAGTTTAAGTGAAGTCCAGGGAAGAAAGAGCCCGGACGTTAACCAAACCTCAATGTACTCACCCTCCTATCCTTCCAAATCTCTATGACTTACTGTCTTCCATGGAAGACATAAAAAGTTAGGCAGAACTTACAATTACAATGATATAGAATGGTGACTGATGCAAAACAAATAAAAAATTAAATAAAACTTAAGATAAAATCTCAACGACAAAAAAACCTAGACGCATTATTTTAATTGCACTCGAGAGGCATCTTGTTTGGATATGATTTGTCTTGGTTTGCTGGAGAGACAAATGAGAGATAAAGTGAAAAGGGGAGGCTTTTGGATAGACTGTTACAGCTTGACGCCAGAAATCGCAAGATCGATTGACAAATGTTCAGGAAAGATGAGCAATCTGACTAAAGGGTTAAGGTTAGAAAGCCATATCCTCTATATCCCACCAGCATTATAGTGGAGGGCCATTGCTTCAGCTGCTGAAGAAAGTCAATTCAAATGTGCTTCTTTTCCGTTACAAAGCACCAGAAGATTGTGTCAGACTTTTTGTTTTTGAGCTAGGCAGACCGACTAGTTTTAAGGCTCACATAATGCATCTGTCAAATGGTGGATAACTGTTTCTTTCCCCTTTGGCCTTGTAAAAGCATTGCTGAGGATCCTGTGAATCTTGGAATGCCAATACGTCTTTTACCAGTCTAGAATTACGCAACGATATGCATCCAATCAAATTCTTAATATATCTTTATTGGATCACTTTTTAAAGGTCATAGCATCATGCATCTTTTTGAGGACCATTAGGAGCAAACAAAAAAATGAGAGAGAGAGAGAGTACAGTTTTATCAATGATAGTCACTAACAGCAAGATTACATTAGAGATAATCATGACAGTGCTTTAGTACCACATACAAATTTAAATAAAGTAAGATTCTGAGGAAAAAATATGCAGATTTAGAGAAAAACAAAAAACTCACAATATTACTGTTGTTATCACAGAAGGAATAGAAAACAGTGCAAAAAAGAATATATGCAAAAAAATGATACTTTAGGATAGGATTTACCAAACAAAGAAATCTTTTGGTGCATCAGCAAAGTAATTATCTGAACCCTCAGATAGTTATGCAGGAACTTTAACTTATTCAGTAGAAACAAACATTCATGCTCCACTTTGCAGTTCTATGCCATTTCACTTGGATGTTACTTTCATAACAACTTCTAGTTAGTGTGTGTACATTGTATCAATATAAGTGTACAAGTGGTTGGGATCATCATTGTGTTCTAGACTCTGTACCCCCGTGATTAAAGGCCAATCACTGACTGATTTTTAAGCCTTACTGTTTTACTAAATATAAGCCAAACTTGGTTCTAATGCCATACAAATATTTAAATTTATTTCTTTACAGAAAATAATTTATATATATTTTTTCTTTTACAGCATAAATTCATAAAGTGACCTCTGGAACAATATTGGAACAAGGGTAAATCATTCTGAAGATGTCACAGCCTGCAGAAGAGATTCCTGGTGATCAGGGTAAGCTATATTTGAATCAAAATACTGTAAATGCAATTATTTACATGTAATGTAAAATGTTAATTAAATATTTCCTGGACAAAAGGCCTAGGCCTATATTGCATGTGTTTTAAAGATTTTAGTACTCCAAAACCTCAACAGCTGCTAAGTTTACAACCCAGTTTTAGAGCAGTTTCAAGTCTTGACTTTTCACATTCATATAATAAATACACAAGCCTACAACATTTATGGTAGGTAGGTTCAAAGTTTTTTTCTTATTCTGTAATCTGTACCCCTTTATTTTTTTTTTGGTCCAAACTTTAAAAGGTAACATTGCCCTCATGTGGTTAAATGAATAATTAACTGTAAAGGCAGTGTATCTGGCAGTTCAATTTTGAATGACATTTGCATGTTTAGTATATGGGTGGCTTATAAACAAATACAAAACATACAGTGTTTTTAATAAATCATATGATTTAATGATTCAAGTGGAGATCAAGAAGAGATCTAGAGTGCCTGGGGTTATGGTCACCCAGTTCGTCAAGGAACTGCCACGTGGAAAAACTACACCTGATTTCACCAGGAAGCCAATCTCCTTGACAGTTCAAGAAGGTATTAATAATAAATGTTGCTAGTTAAAAAGCATATATATATATATATATATATATATATATGCCGTATTTAAATGAGTTGCTCTGCTCAGTTGTTATCTGCTCAGACTGTGGATTAGATTGAACATTTATGTGTTAGTTGAGCAGTTTGGTAGTAGATGCTTTATAAGCATAAAACTCAGAAATGATGAATGGGTTGCCTTTCTCCATTGCAGGCAAGGTGGCCATTTTTAAAGCAATGGTAAGTGGAGAACCAACACCAACTGTAACATGGGCTCGCAACAAGGGTGACATGTCTGATCCAGAAATGTATAAGACAAGATATAATGAAAGGAGTAGAGAGCATGCTCTAGAGGTAAGATACTCTACCAAACTCCAAAGATTTGGATCTGAAATTACATCATTATCAAACAGTGCAGTATATTCCGATGGGTCATTATACGTTAAAAACTTTTTTAATTTGTTGTGTTGAAAAAAAAAAAAAAAAACAGATACAAAATGCCCAAGTAGACCAAGCAGACACGTACAAATGTTTTGCTACAAATCCATTTGGGAAAGCAGTGTGCACAGCTGCACTGAGTGTATTTTCAGGTAGGCAACATATTTTCATTAAAACAAATGACAACATTCAATAATATTACCACAGTCAATGTGCATAACTAGGCAATTAAAATATGTTGTAATCTGCAATCACTGTAAATCCGTGTTAATTACTTTCTCTGTCTTTTAGTTGGATTCAAGAAAAAGAAAACTAGCACGTCCTCAAACAAAGGTTATCCTAAAATGATGAATGAATGTAAAGAGTGTGTTCTGTTTAGATTTTTTATTGATAATGCATGCTATTTTCTTCTGTTTTTAATTAAGATGGCCAAAACAATGATCCTGAAGACTTCCGGAAAATGCTTAAGAAAACCAAGTAATTGTTTTACACATAAGTAATCCTGTTTTGTCAGAATCAGAAATATCTCTTATAAAAGCACAGCTGCTTACTCTCTAAAATCTTCCATCTAGTATTGTCACAAAGAGAAAAGAAAAACCCAAGAAAGAGGGAGAGATTGATCCAAAATTCTGGGAACTGATGCTAAGTGCCAAAAAGTCAGATTATGAGCGCATCTGTCATGAATTTGGAATCACAGACTTTCGCTGGATGCTAAAACAGCTTAATCTGAAGAAAAAGGAGAAGGAGGATGAACAAGCAAAGGTATTTTTCAAGAATTTAATCATCTGATGCTGATGCTGGGTTGTCAGTTAATTTCAACTCGTTATTTATTTCGATAGTGAAACTCTGCCTTGAGACACGTCTGTAAATGCAACATTGATTTTGGTCAATTTCTATAATCATTTTTAGTTGTTTTTTAAAGAATATGTGGTCAATTTAGTTTTTAAATCCCATTTCTTTTATGCCTTACAGGTGGTTCAAAACGTAGACAACATGAAGCAGATTGAAGTGACAACAAGTGGCAGAGCTGAATTTGAGTTTGATATGAAGATTAAGGACCAAAACAGTAAAATCTATTTGTACAAAGTAAGTTCATCACAAGTTCATTTAAGTAAGTTTTACATCAACAACGAACAATGTCATCCAGCAAAAAAAAAAAATAATAATAATAATAATAATTTAAAACTCTTTACTTTTTCCAGAACGGTGAGATGATTGATTATGGTAATGGCACTGATGATTCATCTAAACATAATATGAAGAAAACTGGTGATAAGTACAAGTTTAGCATCAACAAACTTGACTTAAATGATAGTGGACTTTACCAAGTGGATGTTGATGATGTCAACATTTTCTCAACAAGCTTAGCAAGTAAGAAGGCATTTATTTTTTAGATTATTATTCTTTTTTATTTATTTATTTATAGCATTTTCAGAATATATCCTATTCATTAATAATTTCCCCACAGTTCCTGATGTGGAATTCGATGGTATGCTAAAAGATGCTAAAGTGGTTGAGGGGCAGGATGCAGTGTTTGAGGGAGTTTTTTCTGGTCCTGTACCACAAATCACATGGTGTGCCAATGACATTTCTCTTGAGCATGGAGACAAGTACAATATCACAGTCTCTGAAGACAAGCTCAGCCACAGATTAGTAGTAAAGAACTGTAGCCAAGGGGACAAGGGCGTGTACACAGCTATTGCTGGGATTAAATCATCCAGGGCCACCCTTTCTGTTGATGGTAAGTCTTCAAGAGGAACAAAGAAACAAGCTACAATTTGTAGTATTGTATATGAATCAGAATAATGTTCAATCATTTCTCTATGCCACATCAGAGGATCCTAATGCCAAGGGGAAAGGTCAAGGTGGTGCAAAGGATGGAGCAGGTGATCTTGCAAGAAGTCTGGCAGAAGAACAGGCAAGAGCGCAGAGAGAAAAAGATGAAGCAGCTGGGAGAGGCAAGGCTATGGATGGGAGTGGTGATGGAGAGGATGGCCATGATGGAACCGATGGCCGTGGTGATGAAGGGGATGGTCGTGGAGGACTTGGCTTGGGAGATGGAAGTGGAGGAAATGCAACAGGGAAGTATGGACGAGGAGGAGAGGGTACAGAAGGAAGTGGGGAGAGTGGAGACGGTTCTGGAATGGGTTTGGGAGCAGATGGATCAGCAGTTGGTTCAGGTGGAGACGGTACAGGTATGTTCATGGCAACAATGTACAAGAACTCGGTCAGCCTTTTACATAGCTCATACTTCAATTTCCATGAATAACTTACCACTTAGTCAAAGTGAAGTTATTATAATTCATTCAAATGCATTCGTTCCAGATGATAAAGTGCACTTCGCAAGCGGATTATCAGACAAAAATGCCCTCCGCGGCAAACCTGCAGAGCTAGTGTGTAAACTAAATACTGACAAAATTGATGGTGTGTGGTATAAAGATGGAAAGAAGGTAAGCTTGTGTGTCGTAGCAGTACATTACTGACATGACTGACAGAGTTTGACATAAATCGTTTTTCATCAGCTGACTTCCAAAGATGGAGTGGTCATCTCTAAAGATGGTTGTACACATAAGCTCATTATAGAGAACTGCAATGATTCTGATGCAGGTCTATATCATTTTGAGGTTAATGGTTGCAAGACAGAGGCCATGGTGAGAGTGGGAGGTAATTACAATTCAATTTTCTTTTTTTTTTTTTTTTTACATTTGGCTAAAGCATAATGAAGTTACTGTCAGTTTGGAAATTGCAATAATGTTTTCTGCTGTATATTGCTTCTGTTTTCCCAGATCTTCCAGAATTCGACCCAGACGCGTTGCAAAAGTTCTCTAACCCCGTGATAGTGAAAGCAGGCCAGAGTGCATCTTTTAAGATGTCATTTCCTCCACAAGCCTCATTGGAGATTAAATGGTTTAAAAAAAGCTCTGAGCTTCTTGATGGGGGTTCAGTTAAATTGGTGAAGGAATCAAACCACAGTCGTCTTCAAATGAAAGACTGCCTGCGAACGGATACTGGTCAAATCAAAATCCAGCTAAAAAACTCTTTTGGTTCTATTGAGGCTTTATCAAGTCTTATTGTACTAGGTGAGAACAATATTTGCAATTGACCTCTTTAAAGGTACTGTATACTGTTACTATATTTTAAGTAACACACATCTGTGCCCCTGACAGACAAGCCAGGTCCACCACGAGGCCCACTAGAAGTCAATGAAAGCACATCTGCAGTTCTTGAATTGAAATGGAATCCTCCGAAGGATGACGGTGGCTCACCAGTGACAAACTACATAATTGAGCGTCAACAGGTTGGGCAGAATACCTGGAAAAAGATTGGGGATATTTCAACTAACCATCTAACCTTCAGAGATAGAAGTGTGTCCCTTGGCAAGAGGTACATCTATCGCATCTATGCTGAGAATCTTGAGGGCATCAGTGAGGCGATGGAGAGTGAAAAAATCATGGCTGGCTCATTAAGTAAACTCCTTAAGTCTTTACGGCTGAATTTTCCATATTGAACAGGGTTGCCAACTTTGGGACTTTGGCTGGAGTGAGACTGTAACATTTCATTACGTGCGCAGAGAAATTTTTTGGAAACACTAACCCTAATTTTAAAAATGTGAGTCCTTGTTTACTTAGTATAAACCCTGATTTATGCAACAACAACCAAGATAGAATGGAAACTTTAAATTAATTTATTGATTGCACTATTTAAAAAAGCAATGATAAAGGTGATTACATAACATGTCAAAACAACAACATCTAAACAATAAGAAATCTCAAAGCAAAAAGAACACGTAATAGTTATTCCACCTCCCCAGAAAACCTACAAAGCCTCCCCCAAAAAAGTAAAATGATCTGAACATGCCATCACAGGGTGCCATCAAGTGACAGTCTGTGGTGTCAGTCTTGTTTAATAACTGAAAAGGTTCACTCAGCATCCCCATTTGAGTGTGGCAGCCTCAACACAATCTGGACAACCTTTGATAATTTGGGAAATTTTAAAATGCCCCTGTCCGATTTGCCAAAACGTAATTTGTACCATAAGACTATTTTTATTGAGCAATTAGCTAGTCCACATAACGCACGTCAGACAACGTTTGCAAGTTGCAGCTATAGTTAAAGTCTGTATCCTCGGCATACAGACTGATAAGGCAAGACTACGTCACTAGTGACAAGGCACACCATTTTATTATCTGCTTACCTCATCAAAACTTTCATACATGCATCAGTGGGCTCCGACTCCGAACCTGTGCTCTGAACTCTCTCTGAACTTTTCACACGCAACTGATGTATCAGGTCTTCAGCAAATCAGGTAGGCAGATGTTACAGCTGTGGGCCTTAAACTCCTCTCCTGTCATTAATACGCTGGTCAAGTCATCAACAGAAAATTAACAGAATGAGAGGGGAGAAAAATCTATTTAGGCGTGACATTTCTTGCGTGTGCGTGAGATTGATGCTAAAAGCGTGAGTGTCACGCAAGATGCGTGAGAGTTGGCAACCCTGATTTTAAGAAGGACTTAAATCATCTGAAATGTATGTCTATATTACTATGTGTTGGCAGTGTTCCCTGGTCCACCATCCCCACCGAAAGTGGTCAGTGCGTTCAAAAACTGTATTAACCTAACATGGACTCCACCAGAGACAGACGGAGGGAATAAAATCTTGGGCTACCAGCTAGAGAAATGCAAGAAAGATACAAACCAATGGGTGACTCTGAACCCAGTTAGTGAACCCATTCAAGGTATTTTCTTTGTCTTTTCAAAGTTCCTTCTTGAATGAAAAGCACTGACTTTCAATTCTAGACTGTAAAAATTTTGAGTCTGGAAAACAATTGCTAGGGCAAATCAATAAATAACCTTTAGCAAGCCCCTTGCTTGAAGTTTAAAGACCTCAAAATATAAGATAAATTAAGTGGTCTCTACTTTTTACAGCTCTGAAGTATGCAGTGAAGGATGTGTCTGAGGGGTCAGAGTACGAGTTCAGAGTAACAGCCATTAATATGTTTGGGGCTGGAGAACACAGTGGTCCCTCTGAGATCGTCTGCGCTAAAAACCCCAACAGTAAGACACAGACATTTTATCAAGAAATCAAGATAATCTCTGAGATAATTGCAAACATATTTACTAATTTTGACCAATTTCCAGTGAAGCCCCGTTTCAAAGATCCTGAAGACTTTATGGTTGTGAGATCAGGATATTCTATCAGAATCAAAATTGATTATGAGGTAAAAGTGCACATCTAGACATACACATTTTGCATGTAGTCCTCTATGTAGTCAATCATCATCTTCCATAAATGTATATTTGACACACAGGCCACTCCACCACCAGACATTACATGGCTTAAGAATGGTGAACCTGTATCTCCCTGGAACAAGATCATTCATTCTGATGGCACGTGCACACTTGTCGTGCCCTCCTCAAAGTATGACGATTCTGGTGTCTACACCATTGTGGCTAAAAACACAATGGGGCAAGCCAGTTTTGACATAGAGGTCAGAGTAACAGGTAATATCATCCTACATTATATAAACTATAAAAAGGTGTGATTACAGTAGTTTTGTTTTTTTTTTCTTATTTTGCTTTACTTTCATTCATATTAATGGGAATGCAACTATATGCAAATGGTTTAGTCTTAAAGTGGTGCATACAAAAATTCAAGTTCAACTCTAATCTGCAAATTTGGATAGCATCTTTACAGGATCTAAACTTCACAGTCTATAAAATCAGCAAGAGAATTGAATTGAAAATTATTTCAACAAAAACAGAAATAATGTAGTGTAACTTTATCTTCTTTTGCAAACATTCATTGCAGGGTCCAAAGTAACTTTGCATGCTTTATGCCTAGGTGAGACCACATCCTGGGAGACTAAAAGAGCATTGTCAAAGAAACAAAGAGTTACTCATAAGTGAAAATAACTACTGAGTAAATATTCCTAACACTATAATATTGCTCTTTATGCGGCTGCAGATGAACCTAAGCCTCCAGGCCCAGTGGAGCTAGAACAGGTGGTTTATGGTAAAGTCATTATCAAGTGGGCTCTGTCTCCAGACCACGAGAGAGATGACCGACTGCACTACATGGTGGAAGAACATAACTCCAACTCACGCATTTGGCGCACAATAGCCGACCACCTACTCTGTAATACCTACACTACCGGCATTCAACCAGGTCAAGAATATCACTTCAAAGTCTATGCAAAAAATGATATGGGAATTTCTGATCCTTCAGATTCACCAACGTGGGGTGTAAACAGCAATAAAGGTGGGTAGCAGGACCACTACTAATGTAACTTATTGTATTGCACAATGCTAAATACTTAGAACTTTTCTTTCCTTCTTACCAACTAGTTGTAGCACCCTCAACTGTGCCGACTGTAATCAGTTTAGAAAGGCCACCTTCCATCCTGGTTCCATTGAAATACCACACTCCACCAAAAGGATACCAGTGCTTCATGACTTGTGCAGTACGCGGCTGTCCCAGCCCATATATTGCATGGTACCATGACGGGATTTGCATCAACTCTGACAAAAACTACTACATCACAAATGCATTTGGTGTCTGCTCTATGTACATCCTCAGAGTTCGTCCTGAAGATAGTGGCGAGTACAAAGTGGTGGCAGTCAACTCATTTGGCAAGGCAGAATGTTCTTCAATGTTAAACGTGAAAGGTATGGCAGGTGCAGTGATCACTTCGAGGCTTGAGAAGTGTTTACCAGAGTCACCTGATTTACATACCGGTTTGTCCTTTGTGATCGAGTCACATTGCTAATAATTTAGAACATGGTTACGTAATGCAAATGGGCAGATTGGTCTTTAGCCTATTCTAGAGCCCATCAAAATGTGACCTGTGGGGCAAATATGGACCATCAATCATTTTTATGTGGTCATAGATTGATTTAGACAAATTAGCTGCACCGCTTAATGCATTAGAGCGCTTTCTGTGCAAATCTCTATGGTGAATTCAGAAGCACTCAGTGGTCTGTAATTAAAAAAAAAAAAAAAAAACAATCTTAGGAGACAGATAACTGTACTGTCCCTTTTGACAAAATTAAGAATGCTGATGTTGCATTGCATTATCAATTCCAATATGACATATTTTGAAATGCAACAACAAAACATTAAGCTTGAGTAACTATACTTGCATAAACTGTTTCAGTTTTGAAAATGAAAATATTACAATCTGATAATTACTAAAAAAAATGTACTCTCATTTGCATAATTAAGCCCTCTGAAAAAGTAGATGGAGAGCCATGGTCAACTCATTACACATGAAAATCAAATTACTTGAACAGATGTGATTTTCTATTCAGCTTTTACAAAGAAACCAAGGTTTAAGACAAAACTGAAAAACTTTTAAATCAACCAATCTTGTTTGCATAGACTAGGTTGTAGTCATTCATTTTCTTCATAAATTAATCTTCTTTCATCTTTTCTCTTCTCTATATTTCAGATTGATCTTCATTCTGCTGGACGTGGCAATTTTTGATATGCTTCTGCCACAACTAATTTCATGCATACATTTTAAGCTAGAGCAGTGCATGCATATACAGTAAATGAACATAGCTGTGATGGACTGTAATTGAGAACACACAATTTGCTACTATACCACAATGTGTACAACTAAAAATATAAGCCATTAGAATGTATTTATGGACTTCTAAATATGCAAATACATTTTCTGATAAGCACAGTTTCTACCATTATTCTTTGAAATTGTAGGCTAATCATCTTCAATACAGTCCAGTTGAACCAGTGAACTATACTAGACAATATTCTTGAACATGGTTGAAAAAGCTTCACAGACATTTAAATCGCACACATATTCCACTTCCTTCTGGTTCAAACAGTTTGGTCATTCCATGTCAAATCAACCAAATTTGGCATACCGTATAATGCAACAAAGATGACTAAAGTCAACTGATTTTACTAATCGACCTGTCTCTGTGTAAAAATAAGATATAATGCCATCTTTCTAAATACATTTTTATCCTCCCAGTAATTTGGCTCCAAATATTTGGTGAAAAGTCAACAAAATAGTAGATTACTCAAAAATATCCATTCATGACATTTCATATTTTTTCCTTTCTTCTTCAAATACAGTATGCATGCCATTCACCATAAAATTAAAAATTTGAGCTGGGGTACTAAGGTAGAGTTGATCCGGAATGACCCAGCACTCAATTCCAGTCTCAGCATGGTTCCTTACATGAACAACGCCAATGTCAGTAGGCACCCCTGACTTCTTAGCAGTTGAAACTGAAACTACTGTTAAAAAGCAAGTGTGTAGAGCATAATCCAGAATGCAAGTTTAACCAAATAAAAAATATAACCATTTATTTTCAGTATTCTAAGATTTTTTTCAAATATAATTCAATGAATACATTAAATGAACAAAACAATATTGTTACGTGAACAATAACAAATACAACAGCCTGTTACATATATTGTTTGGGCTTAAATTTACATAGGCTACTACAACTATACTGAATTTGTAGGAGGGACTAACTATGTGACCCTTCAATGACTGGTGTTCTTCCATATGGGTATTTTAAAGAATATCCGGGCGACTTTTTTTTAGCATAATGTAAGTGAATGAAGACTGGCTGTTATACTCCAAAAGAGACCCACAAACATACGTATGACTCTGTCATAGAAGTGAGTCCTCCTTTCCTATCATTAATAAAATTTGGCATGATATTCGTCAAAAATAAAATGTTTGCATGTTTCACAGGGAGAAAAATGCATAGTTTGGAACAACGTAAGCAAATATGACTTTCATTTGTAGTCAATAAGGATGACTCTCATTTTGAGTGAACTTTCGCATTACGGAATGTTTATTAGACAGGGCTAGAACAATGTACGTTAGCGCAGTCTCCAACAGTTGCTACTCACTGACTGACTGACAGTTTGTGATACGCTCACCTGAAATCAACACTGCCTCGTCGTCATTGCTCCTATAAAGCAACAACACCTGCTGGATACCGGTATTCTGTGTGCATGAGTGGAGTGTTCTCATCATCCAGTGAAAACAAGACAGCACCCACGCACAATGTACTTGCTTTTATGACCTTCCACCAAACCAGTGCATTTGCTGTTGTGCTTTGGCCCCTCACTTAAGTTAACCAAAAAAAAAAAATGTTGAGGTAAATGTGAGATAGGAAGAATTGTTTGTATGTTCCTATTTCTTTATGTATGATGTATGTAATAATAATAATAATATTTGAAAATAAAATAATGAGGAAAGCTTTGCTGCAGTGCAAACACTGCTGGACCGGGACAAAAAAAAAACAGAAAAAAAGGACAAGACAACAATAAAACAAAGACAAGGCAGAGAAGTTATGTCTCCGGAAGATTAATGATATATATTTTAAAAAAGAGAGATGTAAAGCAAATTTTTACCATGAATATTGGTAAAATATTTTCTGATATTGATAGTGCTGTAATGATATATTTACACTGGTCACACTGGTTCCCTTGATAAGAAAACCCCAATAAGATTTTTCCATTGGCTTTTGGATAATTGCATGAAAGTTTACCGACCAACAATACTTTATGATTTTTACACTATTTGTTCATGATAATCCTCACAAATGAAAATCCTCATAGTTTTGTGGAGTTGGACAAAAACTACGATAAAACCTTTTGGAAAGCAACCACAGAAAACGGAAATTCTCGGGCCAGCATCAGGTGTCCAAATTTTAAACTTAACTGCTCTATTTCATCAGAAAACAGGGCTTGAAGTGTAAAATACCGGCCTTGTCCTTTAAGTCTAAATAAATCACCAGAAGTAAAAAGCTAAATGTAAGCTATAAAAGAACTACACCACTGTCACATGACTTTAAAGTCACCATCACAAGCTTCCGACAACTCTTTCAGTCTTTATGTTAAAAAATATCTTATTTCAGGCATTTAGCTTAGGGTCGATGGAAGCATGCTAAAATGCTAACTAATCGCCAGGTTTTGCCCTACAAAAATACGTCATCCTTGCGGCACTCTATTGGTAATGGGACAAAGTGTCAAGTCATAAGGTTATGTGTTTTATTGGGCCCAAATAATGTGACTACTATGTTTGTGAGAGCTGCTAAGCTGTCTGGGCATATAAAGCATGGTCAGCTCCTGTGCATGTGAAATGGCACCTGCCCTCTGGGGCTACATACCCAACACATAAGTCATAATATCAATTTATTTATTAGTGCATCAACGTTATAAATAGCATGTCCCATTAAAACAAGAATTGAACGTAGGCTCTTATATCGCCATAGAAACTACAAAATATGTTGAACTACTGAGATGAGTGCTGCTATTGTGGTACGTTCCAACATCACTTAGATATTTCTTATTTTACACCTAATATAAGGTCATTATATTGAGATGGTGTATCTAACTAGTAAAATAGTCATAAATGAGATCCTTTTCTTTTCTGGCAAAGGTGAGGTTTCTGGCATATTGTCCCTGGCAATGGCAAATGAACAGTCATCATAAAAGTAACTTGAATGTCACCCTCACTATTTACAGAATAAGTATGACCATGGACCACGGACAGGGCATCTGACCCTTTGCTGCTGTAAACCTCACCCAAATAACAGATTTAATGTGACAGCTAATATGACTGCAGTGCTTGAGAGGTTTCAATTTGGCCCACTACTGTTTTATTGCTGAACAAAATAGAGAGACTGCAATAAATTGTGGGAGTCGAACACGGTTGTGTTGGCAGAGCAAGTTAGCTACAAGTGAAGGTGAGTTGCTTCTTGTTCTTTCTTCTTTTACTTCCTTTTTTTCAGACGAGAACATGAAAATATAAAATATGATACATCATCATGGATTAAAAATGTATATGCAAAATTATTTAAAGCAATTTTTAAAAATCTCAGATTTCAGGCTTGATTTATACGTGGGAAGATGTACTCTACAACGGATCTGATTCTAAGTAGTGATGCATAGATCAGATTCCAGATGGTACTCATGTTGTGATGCTCAGAATGCACTAAAGTGCTTTAGATGTTAAAGTGCTTTCTTTATATGTATAAATCGCAAAAATCTGACTAAATAAATATTCATACTATAGTAGCGCAGTTATTGTATGAGTGGATTATCAGTAAAGGATCATTAAATGTGCCTTTCCTTGTAAATAGTTACATAGCGATTCTCCTCATACTTCAAAACTTTGAGGAGTAAATATTATATAATTTTATTAGTATTTTAAAAATGATTTTGCACTCCAAAGCTAAAGCATAATTGCTCTGGTAGCTCATCTCTGATAAGTTTATGAGGTATGTGACCAATCAGAGGCTAAGGGGTAAAGGCTAGCCTTGCTTGTAAAAATCCTTGAAAGGGATCCTGTCAACTTTAACGTGCTGTTAAATTTTTTTAATGTCAGTCTTGTGTTACTTTACGTGCAAAATGTATAATATCACGTCCTGATATATCTTTATTGGTTCAGTTAATGGCATGTTTTTGGACAGCATCAACAGTAAAAAGTTATTATTTACATGTACATAGTGTTTTACAGAAAGTTTGACAATGTTTTTTTTTTTTTTTTTTTTTTTACAGAGGACATATTGCGTGAATTTTACTATCTTGTAAAGGGTGCATTCATGGAACACTGATTGATGTCCACAAGGACATATAGCTGACAGATAGTGTTTCATATTCCTTTTTCACAAATTCTGTATCAGGCCTTAATCAGTGGTAATTAATACCTTATGAAAATATGGTTCTTAATGACAATAACAAGAGTCTGTCAGTGAAACAAGAAGAAAACAAATGCAGCTGCTTTTGAGAGTTAATCATATCCATGGGGAGCCTATAAAGTGGGACACTTTCTAATAATTTGTCCTTGGCTTTTACAATTATTATTTTTTTTTCTAAAATGCTGGGAAACATCAAGTGCTCACTTCTGTCCAGATATTGTGTGACATGCCCCCAGAAAAGATGTCAGAACAAAATAAGTCCTTTTGTGTCATCGCATTTTAGGATAAAATTCATTTAATGCTGATTTTAGTAACGGAAGAATAAAGTTAATTAAGCTTAGGTGTTCTATGTCAACCTTTATTCACCCTATTAACTGTTATAACGACAATAACAATGTGCAATTGAATGTTTTTTTCTCTTTTAATAAGACACTGCAACTATTACGAATTCTGAATTTAAAGGCAAATCTTGCATTTTGAAGATGTCAAAGCCAGCAGAAGGAACGGACGGTAAGTTAAAATCATATGAGACATGCCAAATGACAAAATTCTTTAAACCATCTGAATCATTTAATGTAGATTTGCTTTGTTCCATCATCATTGATGGCTTTATTGTTAATCAAGCAGTCTAGCTGTCCAGACCAGAGGTTGTGATAAAACATCGCCATCATGTGGTCAACAACAGCAATGTCCACAGCTTTAAAGATCCTGCAACACTTTCCTGGCGCATGTTGCATTAATTTATATGAAGTAAAGTCATTCACATAAATATGCTATTTGATGTTTGTTGGCCTTGACTCTGTATAGATCCAAAAAAAACATATTCCACTGTTTTACCAAATTAAACATCATGGAATTGTTTTTATTGATTGAATTAAGTGTTGAGGATAACACCTTGAGATGAAACGTCTCGTTTTTGAGCACATAAACATTCACTCTCACTAAAGCTCTACCTCATCCCGCCTTGCCCGGCCCACCAACTCTTTATTGGAAACAAATCCATATATAAAACATAAAGCAGTATTAAGATGCATGACAACATTTAGCCCTTACATACACATGTCTATACATATACATACGCACACCCATACCCGTATATGTACAAATAAATTAATAAAAATACTGAGTGAGAATACTGTTCTGCTACTTCAGTGTCAATTAGGAAGAGATCCAGAGTGCCTGGTGTTATGATCACACAGTATGTTGAGGAACTTCCACCTGGATGTACTACTCCTGATTTCATCAGAAAACCCATAGCCTTAAATCTACAAGAAGGTAATAGTTTTCTTCATTTTTGACCATGGATCGTCTGTCTGTCTGTCTGTCTGTCTGTCTGTCTGTCTGTCTCTCTGTCTGTCTGTCTGTCTCTCTGTCTGTCTGTCTGTCTGTCTGTCTGTCTCTCTGTCTGTCTGTCTGTCTGTCTGTCTGTCTGTCTGTCTCTCTGTCTCTCTGTCTCTCTGTCTGTCTCTCTGTCTGTCTGTCTGTCTGTCTGTCTGTGATATAACATCACTGTTCCGTACCTTCAGGCAAACTGGCCTTTTTCAAAGCTGTTGTTAATGGAAATCCAGCACCGGAAGTTTCATGGGGACGTAACAAGGGAGACATCTCTAATTCAACTAAATATGTTTCACGATACGATGAGAAGAACGGAGAATATATTCTGGAGGTGAAATGAAAAAGTTTCTTGTTATCAGCTGTTTTAAATTTCTGTTCTAAATTGTACCAATTATTGATATTGGTAGTTAAGAAGGAGATAATATATTTTATATAAATACTAAATACATTTATTTCTGTTTGGCTTTCCTTAAAAATATTTACTCCTATAATACTCCTTTCTTTAGATACCAAATGTAGATTCAGATCAAGCAGACACATACAAATGTCTTGTTATAAATCCTTTTGGAAAAGCTGTTTGTACTGCTGCACTTAATGTCATTGAAGGTAGGAAATTCATAAAGATAATTTGAACATGATCTTTTTAGTTTTCCATTTACGGTTAAAATAAAAGTATCATAGGCATGAATCAATCTGTTTCTCTTCTTTTCAGTTGGCTTCAAGAAAAGAGAGCCAGGTATGCAAGTCAGAGCTAATGATGCTTGAAATGAAATAAACAAAAGATCTATTTATTTGGTTAAAAGAGTTCAGTGTCAAAATAACTTAAAATATGTCTAATTTTTCAGTCCCCAAAAATGACCCTGAGGAGTTCAGAAAAATGCTGAAGAAAAGGTAATGTATCACTGCATCATACAGTATATTTATATTGTATGCCCATGCAACAAATTTGATGTAACGGGGGGAGAAATAATAAAGTAAGGGAACCAGGGTTAGTTAGTTAGTTAGTTGTCATAGTAAATATTTTTCAGGGTGGGTTTTTAGTTTTAGTTTTTAGGGCACAGAAAACCTATTGTACATTTTCCACCATTATTAAAAAAGGAAAAGGATACAGGTGGTTGCATTCACATTGAACACTGGGGCATGTTGTCACACTACATTAAGTGGGAGTTGTAATAATGATAACATGTCTTTAAACGACATGTTTTAGACTATTTTGAAGGCTTAAAGTAAAACAGTCATAAAACACAAAATCATTTATCCAAATAGACATGTTTTAAGAACTTAAAATCTACCTTAATCATATAATTTATCATTGATTTAATGTATGCCTTATTGTGCTCACTTGTTTACCCAAACCTTAAGCAAAAGTTAAGTTTCCTTCTATACATTTTTCAGTAAATGTTGTGGTACTCTTCATTTAGGGTTGTGAAGAGAAAGCAAAAACAAACAAAGGAGGGGGAAATCGATCCAATGTTCTGGGAGGTGTTACTGTGTGCAGCCAAGAAAGATTATGAGCGCATTTGTCTGGAATATGGAGTCACTGACTTCAGGTGGATGCTGAGAAAACTCAACCAGAAGAAGAAGGAAAGAGAGGCAGAACAGTCCAAGGTCTCTTTTGCTTTGAGTAGTCAACTGTATACACTGCTGTTTTTTTATGCATGCACCATATGAAAAATTTCTACTTTTGATTTTTCTATCAAGTATGTTGAAAAAGTCCACAGTATGAAACAGATCGAGGTAAAAACAGATGGAACAGCAGAATTTGAACTCGACATGAAGTTAAAGGATCCTAACAGCAAAATCCTCCTCTACAAAGTAAGTGCCCTCATTCAAATAGCCTCAAACTCATTTTCAATACTTTAAGAGTAATGCACTTCAATTGACCCTTACCAGGATGGGGAAATGCTTGACTATGGAGATGGAACTGATGATTCCAAAAAACATAATATGCAGAAATTTGGTGAAACGTACTTATTCAGCATTAGAGATGTTGGCCAAGAAGATGCTGGGTTATATCAAGTAGATGTAGAGGAGGCGAACATGTTCTCAACTTCCCTGACACGTAAGAATTTAGAATACCAATGTGTGTGTTTTTTTTTAATCTGTAAATATGAATAGTAAATATTGCATATATATATATATATATATATACACACCTAAAGGATTATTAGGAACACCTGTTAAATTTCTCATTAATGCAATTATCTAATCAACCTATCACATGGCAGTCCAATACATTTAGGGGTGTGGTCCTGGTCAAGACAATCTCCTGAACTCCAAACTGAATGTCAGAATGGAAAAGAAAGGTGATTTAAGCAATTTTGAGCGTGGCATGGTTGTTGGTGCCAGACGGGTCAGTCTGAGTATTTCACAATTTGCCCAGTTACTGGGATTTTCACTCACAACCATTTCTAGGGTTTACAAAGAATGGTGTGAAAAGGGAAAAACATCCAGTATGCGGCAGTCCTGTGGACGAAGATGCCTTGTTGATGCTAGTGGTCAGAGGAGAATGGGCCGACTGATTCAAGCTGATAGAAGAGGAACTTTGACTAAAAATAACCACTCGTTACGACCGACACGCACAACCACAACACGCACAACCTTGAGGCGGATGGGCTACAACAGCAGAAGACCCCACCAGGTACCAGGTACATCTCCCCTACAAATAGGAAAAAGAGGCTACAATTTGCAAGAGCTCACCAAAATTGGACAGTTGAAGACTGAAAAAAATGTTGCCTGGTCTTATGAGTCTCGATTTCTGTTGAGACATTCAGATGGTAGAGTCAGAATTTGGTGTAAACAGAATGAGAACATGGATCCATCATGCCTTGTTACCACTGTGCAGGCTGGTGGTGGTGGTGTAATGGTGTGGGGGATGTTTTCTTGGCACACTTTAGGCCCCTTAGTGCCAACTGGGCATTGTTTAAATGCCACGGCCAACCTGAGGATTGTTTCTGACCATGTCCATCCCTTTATGGCCACCATATACACATCTTCTGATGGCTACTTCCAGCAGGATAATGCACCATGTAACAAAGCTCGAATCATGTCAAATGTTTCTTCAACATGACGATGAGTTAACTGAACTAAAATGGCCCCCACAGTCACCAGATCTCAACCCAATAGAGCATCTTTGGGATGTGGTAGAATGGGAGCTTCATGCCCTGGATGTGCATCCCACAAATCTCCATCACCTGCAAGAAGCTATCCTATCAATTCATTTCTAAAGAATGCTTTCAGCACCTTGTTCAAGCAATGCCACGTAGAATTAAGGCAGTTCTGAAGACGAAAGGGGGTCAAACACAGTATTAGTATGGTGTTTCTAATAATCCTTTAGGTGAGTGTCTATTAAATGGTACAATGTTTGTATTTGGCAATATACAATATTTGAAGCTACTGTCATGCTTCTCTTTTATGCTGCATTAATTTAGACTCAAAATAATTTTTACTTGTTATAACCTCACTGTTTAAGAGTTGTTTTGTGCCTCCAGTGCCTGATGTGGAGTTTAATGGCATACTGAAAGACACAAAAGTGGTTGAGGGGCAGGATGCAGCATTTGAGTGTACCTTATCGGACCCTGTGCCACAAATCACCTGGTGCGCCAATGATATCTCGATTGAGCATGGGGATAAATATGATGTCACAGTGTCAGAAGACAAGCAAGTCCACAAACTAACTGTGAAAAACTGTTCAAAAGACGACAAGGGAGTCTACACGGCTATTGCTGGGCTCAGGTCAAGCCAGGGGACTTTGGTTGTGGAAGGTAGAAAAATTGGTTTAGCTATTTTCCCCTCTTTGCTGAATTGTGTTTGCATGTACTTTAAATTCATTCACTATGGGTCAAAATTTAGGAATTTTTTTTATGTTTTTGAAACAAAAATAAAAAAGTATTATACCAACAAAGGCTGCATTTATTAGAACAGAAGTACAATAAAAAAAGTAATATTCTTTAATATTATTACAAAAATATTATCTTCTAATTTTCAATTTTAATACATTTTTAAATGTAATTAAATCCTGTGATGACAAAGCTGAATTTTCAGCATCACTCCAGTCTTCAGTGTCATGATCCTTCAGAAATCATTCTAATATGCTGTATTCCTATATTTTGACCGGTGGTGTATTTTCAAAGCATGAGTCAAAGTAAGATCAAAGTATATCATTGGCAATGTATTGTATAGTATAGTGTGGTGTACTGTATATTTTAACTAATACTGTTTTCAGATGATCCCAATGCCCGTGGAAAAAGTGCAGATGAACAAGCCAGACGTTTAGCTGAGGAGAAGGACAGACTGCAAAGAGAAAATGAAGAGGCGGCCAGGAGGGCACAGGCTGAACAAGATGAGGCGGACAGGAGGGCTCAAGTCGAACAAGATAAGTCAGCAAGGAGGGCACAAGCTGAGCGAGACAAGGTGGCCAGAAAGGCTCTGGAAGAGCAAGATGAGGCGGCCAGAAAGGCTCAGGAAGAGCAAGATGAGGCGGCCAGAAAGGCTCAGGCAGAGCAAGATGAGGCGGCCAGAAAGGCCCAAGCTGAAAGAGATGAGGCAGCCAGAAGGGCCAAAGCAGAGCGAGAAGCTGCTGAAATGATGGCAGCCATGGCAGCAGGAAATGGAGGTAGACAAAATGGCAGTGCAGGAGATGGGAATGAAGGTGACGGAACAGGGAAGAACAGAAAAGGAGGAGATGGTACCTTAAGAGATGATAAAGGAGATGGGCTTGATTTAGACGGATCAGGTGGAAATGGGTCTGGTGATAAGCGCAAGAAGCGTGCAAGAGTCGATGAATTGCTTCACAACAGCATCATAGGTAAGTCTGAAGCTCCATATTAAGTCAATTGATTCTCAGTGGTAAAATGATGTAATTTGACATATTTTCTGTGCACTTTTTTTCAGACCATGGAGTCTGCTTCCTGAACGGGTTGTCAGATACTACAGCCAATGTTGGAAAATCAGCAGAGTTGTCCTGCAAACTTAGTAGTGAAGATAAAACTGGATTATGGTACAAAGATGGAAAAAGGGTACAGTATTGTATTATATTTATCCTACTTTGCTAAACAAATGTTTAATATAAATGAATGTCAGTTATCATTGGTGCTCAATTATTAATAATGGCTCTTATTATTAAAGATTTTTGCTGGATAATATTTTTATGGAAACTGTGATACATTTTTTTTCAGGATTCTTTTTAAGGAACAGCATTTATTTGAAATGGAAATCTTTTGTAACATTATAAATGTCCTTACTGTCAATTTTGAGCAATTTAATCCATACTTGTTGAATAAATAATTAATTTCTTTTCTTAAAAAAATTGTTTTACTTACCCCAAACTTGTGAATGTTAGTGTAACACGGTTTCCATGAAATATTAAGCAGCACAAATGTTTTCAACATTGATTATACCAATTTTCTTGAATGATTCTGAAGGATCATGTGAAACTGTCACTTGAATTTGCCATCACATTAAATAATAAATAAAATGCATATATATATATATATATATATAATTTCTTTTTTTATTTTATTTTTTTATGCATCAGTTAGACTCCAAGGATGGAATTACATTAGTCAAAGATGGGGCTCACCACAAACTAATAATCCATGACTGCCAAGAACGAGATGCTGGCAAATACAAGTTTGAGGCGGAAGGACGTAAATCAGAGGCTACATTAACTGTCGAAGGTAAGTGTGTTTTCTACTTCGCTATACATAAAACTGGAAGCAAAATGCTTAGCCACTAGAGGGAAGTGAGCAATGTTGGGGCAAAGTAGTTGGCGGGTGATAATAACCTCTCGCATGTAGAATTAGACAAGCACCTTATTTTATTTTGATGTAATGCCTTCATTAAATATGTCTCCGGACCCATAAAAGAGACATTGCTGTGTGAACATATATTTCCTTCTATAAATAAACAACACCTCTACCACCCTGCCCTGGTTTATATCAAAGCAATTCAATTATCTTTTCTGTCTCTTCAGATCCACCCAAAATCGATGCAGATGCCTTCAGTAAATTCTCAAAGTCTGTTATTGTGAAAGTGGGAGAAAATGCTTCCTTCAAGCTACAATTTTCAGGAAAAGAACCAATTAAGATTCAGTGGTTTAAAGAGGACGAAGAGTTCCTGCAGGGTCATGGTGTCAAGATTGAAAAGTCTTCAGATCACACCCGCCTGCTTCTTACTAAGTGTCAGCGCAAAGACACCAGAGAGATAAAAATCAAAATCAAGAATGAATTTGCCACTATAGAGGCAACATCAAAACTTATTGTACTAGGTATGTATTGCAAAGATTAAGAAAGGGCCTAAATATTGTATGAAAGCATATTTTGGAAGAATATTAAATGTAAAGACATCATGATACACCTGTCTGCAATGTATACAGTATTTGTAGCATACAGCTCTTACAATGCTTGTTAGCTATGTGCATGCAAATTAAAGTACCAATACTAAAAATATCAAAATTACAAATAAGAGGGAAAACTCTGAGACAGACTGACTGACCTAAGCTATTTGGTTATTGGAAGACTAGCCAACTATTATATCACTGTGACTAGGGATGGCTCGATACCACAATTTTGGCTTCGGTACGATACCAGAACCTAATACCTCGGTATCGATACTAAATCGATACCACAGTCGGAAAAAAAAGAGTCTAAATTTAAGTGAATTGAAACAATTTTATTAAACACTGCTTGAAACTCTCAACTACCATATGTGCAAAGAAAAGTATCCCAAAAAAAAAAAAAAAAAAAACGTATCAAAATTTTAAAAATAAAATTATGTGTAGGTAAAATTTTAATTTTGGGAAAACCACTGATATTACACAATTAAAATAGGTTAATATAATAGATTAACATAATAGAATAATGAAATGACGGTAACCATTAGCTGTCATGCATCAACAGAGAATTATCAACATTTATTGCATTTATTCATCTTGGTTTGGTTACTGTTTGTGTTTGGGCTCATATTATGCATATAATGCATTGCAAAAAGTAATGTTATGATGCTAACCATATCTTACGATATTACATTTTTAGGTCATTTTATTACTGATTGATCTAGATTAATCAATGCTATATTGTTAGGCCAGGTTCCTTAATGAATGTTGACAAATGTAGCTTAATTGTAGGCTAATATTATTAATATGTATATTACTACCCTCTCTCTCGCGCTCTCTCTCTCTCTCTCTCTCTCTCTCTCTCTTCGCCACAGCCTCAGTAATGCCATTCATTTATCACTTTTATGCTTTATTAATTTAAATTAAATGAATATATTTGTTTGAAATAAATTGCAAAAATGAGATCATGAGACGTAAACTGAGATCATGAGACGTAAACTAAATTGGTATAGCGTGTCATGCAAGAAGATTTGAGCTTTCGTGTTTACCATATCATATTTAATTGATAAGCTCTTAGGTATGTGCGCTGTTCAGTGTTCAATAAAAGTCTAAATTAAATCAGTTGAATGATGAACTCACCAGTCGATCTCTTCAACAAGTCAGGATGAGCAACTGACGAGCGCTTCGGCAGATTTGATGTGTTGCCTTCCATGGCAACACATTATTGAAAGCAAAGTTTGCAGAGTGGTTCATTGAGGTCTGTGTCTACACTATTCTCATTACTTTAGTAGGCAAAGTAATGCCTTATTTCACTAATACTGCTCTCTCTATTTAATAATTTCGGGCGTGTAAAAACCCGAATGAGCTTTATTTCACCCGTGTTCCTTCGTTTGCAAGTTTCGCGTGACTTGCATCAGTTTCGGTAGCGCACTGCCGCCTAGTGGAGAACTTCGGAAAAGCAGCTCATCAAATACCGAATTTAACAAAATTATGATATTGTACCGTTTTAAATTAATTATATACCGGTATTTTTGCAATACCGGTATACCGCGCATCCCTAACTGTGACCCATCACTACTATTTATAATACGACTATATGATATTTTTTTTTTCCAGACAGACCGACCCCACCACAAGGACCTGTAGAAATTGTAGAAAGCACGTTGTCTGCCATTGAGTTTAAATGGAGGCCCCCAAAGGATGATGGAGGTTGTCCAGTGACTAACTACAACCTAGAGCGGCAGCAGCTGGGACGAAACACCTGGACTAAAATTGGAGATATTCCTGGACAGCCCACATACAGAGACAGGAACATAGATTGTGGCCGAAAGTACTGCTACAGGATCCGGGCCAAAAACTCGGAGGGCTTCAGTGACGTCATCACAACTAGTGATATTGCTGCTGGCAATTTGGGTGAGAAGATTCCTTATTTCTGTCCATATTTTAATGTAGTAAATTACCAGTTGTTTGTCTTTAGAAAAAGTAAATGGGTTTTAAATATAATAAAAGGTGTCCTTTCTGTTCCCAGCATTCCCTGGTTCTCCTGCTCCTCCTAAAATAGTCAGTGCCTTTAAAGACTGCATTAACTTGGCCTGGCTTCCTCCCTCCAACACTAGAGGGGGAAATCTCATTGGCTACAATTTGGAAAAGCGCAAAAAGGGCAGCAATTTATGGAGTCAAGTAAACGCAAAAGACGATCCAATCAGAGGTCTTTGAAAATGAATTGAATTTGAATTAAAATAGCCTAGACTTATTTCATTTTAAAACAGCACAATGTTCATTTTGTCATATGATATCTAGACAAAATATATGCAGTAAAAGATGTAATCGAAGGTGCAGAGTATGAGTTCAGAGTGATCGCTATTAACACATGTGGCCCTGGCCAACCAAGTGGGCCCTCTGAATGTGCAATTGCAAGGGATCCCAAAAGTAAGACAAATTCATACTCAATGTCACAATATACAGAAATGATGACTTGTCAGATAGAGTACAAAAAAAATAAAACATTTCTTCATTTTTAAGCAAATATTTGTGATGTCATTGCCCCCAGAGCCTCCTGGTAAGGTCAAGGACCTCAGAATAGATGGATCGAGCTACACCAGTCTGTCTCTTTCCTGGACTAAACCTACAGAAGTCAAAGGTGAGGAAGATGAGGCAAAAGGCTATTTTGTGGAAATCAGGCCCGCAGAACAAGTCGAGTGGAGCCGTTACAATACAAACGCAGTAATTCAGACTTCCCTCACTGTTGTGGGATTGAAGTCAATGGCCATGTATTGGGTTAGAGTGATCGCCACCAATGAAGGAGGAGAGGGGCTTCCACAGAGTTTTGACAATTACATTATCGCCATGCCTCCTCCAGGTAAAGTTTCATATTTTTTATATACTGTATCACTTTGACTTTTAGTTTTACACAAAAATTAGTTAATCTGAAATTTTGTTTTGTTATTGTTGTTGTTTTTTTCAGTAAAGCCAAAGTTTACTGACAAAAAAATGAAAAGCTTTATGGTTGTTAAAGCTGGAAACACAGTTCGTGTAAGCGTCAGTTTTGAGGTAGAGTCTCAAATCATTATGAAAAAGTCAAAATAGTTAAAGAGGACCTATTATGCCATTTTACAAAGTCTTCTTGATTTTCTTTTTTGGGTCTACTAGCATAGGCTTGAATGCTTGTAAATTAGAGAGAAAAAATAATTTTATCATATTTTACATTGTTGCATTACCTCTCTACCCCAAAATTTAGTTCCTGTCGAATCCCCTTCTTTCGAAAAGTGCACTGTGCTCTGATTGGCTGGCTGGACCAGTATTTTGTGATTGGTCAGTAAATGTTTCAGAAATGTCACGTCCCTTACCATAACCACAAGTCATCTAGTCCCCTAAGTTGAAAATGTTAAAAAGCATAAGAGGTCCTCTTTAAAAGGTTTTCCATGACAATTTTATCTTATACCGAAAGCATTTTCAAACATTACGAAATGGCACATCTGTTTTTTGTATAATATATATTGGCTTTTATTTTATCCACAGGCCTCTCCTTTACCAGACATCACTTGGCTAAAGGATGGTGTTCCAATAGCCAAACATGTGACAATTACTAGTTTTGAAAAGGGTTCTCAGCTATTTATTTACACATCAGAGCTGTCTGACACTGGCCTCTATATGGTCAATTTGAAGAATATGGTGGGCCAGGACACCTTCGCTATTGAAATAAGAGTCACTGGTAATCAAATTTCTTACCTAAACCTTCTATATACCGGTATACAGTACTGTTTGAATGACTAGCTAATGTACTTATGGTAATTATATGGGTACCTGTTTATTCTTAATTGTCAGATGATCCCAAGCCTCCAGGTCCAGTAGAACTGGAACAGAATGTCCATGGCTCCGTGACTCTGTCATGGACTCCTTCTCCCGATGAGAAACGAGACAACCATCTGCATTACATGGTGATGAAGCGGGACTCTGTCAAGCAAACATGGCGCACAGTGGTTGACCGCTTGTTCAACAACAAATTCACAGTCATTAACATCTTGCCTGGAAGAGAGTACAGTTTCAGAGTGTTTGCCAAGAATGATATAGGTCTCTCAGAGCCATCAGTGTCTCCAGTTTGGGGAACCACCAAACAAAGAGGTTTGTGGATGACTTTGTTGACATTTTTTGGTTTAGTTTTTTTCTTGGTTCAGTTTTTTTAGTTAGTGGTTTAATTTTATTCTTACTAACGTTACCCTGGTGAAAATAATTTTATATTTATTTTATGCAAATATACTACAAATAGATTTACATATATGTGTACTTTTGATGTAAGCAATTGGACTTATTCTATATTTGTATACTTGTCTGCTAAATTGGAACAACTCATTTTGTACTTAGTTCACCCAAAAATGAAAATTGTGTCATTAACGACTCACCCTCATGAAGTCCCAAGCCGCCGCCTTCAAGCCGCCTTTCCACTGCACACGACAAACGACCGCCGTCGGACCGGAAGTCATTCATTTCCAATGGAGAGTCGTAGGCTACGGGAGCTACGGGGAGTTCCGATCATATGCGTATGCGGGAAAATTCGGATCCGTTTTGAGCTTTGGATCCGTTGAAATATCTGAACGTCTGCGGCTAGACCGTATGCGACCGGCCAACCGGAAGTGATGTATTCTAATAAAAACTATGAGCGCGAGGCTAGAATTACCAATATTTTAACTCTTTAATGTTTTTCTGTAAACGCTCGCTCTGTAAAATGTTGGTTATAATTAACTATAGCGGAAAATATATTTTATAATTATTAAACCAATATTTATACTACTATATTTTTATTTGAGATGAATTGAGGGTCATTTGTTTTGTGTAGATATATTCATGCATGCATTACATTTATTAAAATCATTAATTTTACCATTGTGAATATCCTAGGGTAACGGTTGCTTCACGACCAATTTCAAGTTCTGTGCGACTGACACTAGGGGGCGAAATGCGACAATCGTATGCGAATGTCGTGTGCAGTGACCGCCGTTTATCTTCGGAACACAGTTTAAGATATTTTAGATTTAGTCCAAGAGCTTTCTGTCCCTCCATTGAATATGTACGGTATACTGTCCTTGTCCAGAAAGATGTGTAGCTTATGCCTGGCTGGCTCTGTCATCGAGGGTGCGTTAACACGGAGGTTTGTTTACATAACGTTACCGGTAACAGCTTAATTGTCGTCGCCACAAGATGGCAGCCTACACAGAACGCTGGTCGGATTCTTTTAAAGCTCCAGTCCGTAAATTCTTAAAGGTTTAGTTCACCCAAAAATGAAAATTAAGTCATTAATTACTCACCCCCATGCTGTACCAACCCCGTAAGACCTTCGTTCATCTTCAGAACACAAATAAAGATATTTTTGATTGAATCTGAGAGCCGGGTCTGGGACTGGCTCTTGACGGCCCATAAAGTCATTAAAGAAAAGGTTTAAATATTCCATGTGCCTAAAGCGGCTCAATTATAAGTTTATCAAGCGACGAGACTACTTTTTGTGCGAAAAAAACATAAATAACGACTTTATTCCACTATTCCATTACTTCCTTATGGGCGCATGCGCGAGAACTGAGACGAGGACGTTCTCATTCGTCTACTTCTTGTTACCGGCTGCTCACCGCTTAGGAGTTTTACCGCCCCTTACCATAAAAGATGATGTGCTGATATAGCTGGAAGCGCAAAACTTTCTGTTTACAAGCAGAGGAAGATGCGCGCTGTACATACGCTTTTCAATTAGCGTATTTTCCGCACTACAAGGTGCACTTAAAAGCCTTTAATCTTCTCAAAAAACGACAGTGTTCCTTATAATCCGGAGCGCCTTATATATGGATCATCATTTTATACGGTAGGTGGCGGTAAAACTCCTAAGCGGTGAGCAGCCGGTAAAAAGAAGTAGACGAATGAGAACGTCCTCGTCTCAGTTCTCGCGCATGCGCCCATAAGGAAGTAATGGAATAGTGGAATAAAGTCGTAATTTATGTTTTTTTCACACAAAAAGTATTCTGTAGGCACATGGAATATTTAAACCTTTTCTTTAATGACTTTATGGGTCCTCAAGAGCCAGTCCCTTAGGCAGTCTATATAGGACTGATTCAGCTCTCAGATTCAATCAAAAATATCTTTATTTGTGTTCCGAAGATGAACGAAGGTCTTACGGGGTTGGAACAGCATGGGGGTGAGTAATTAATGACTTAATTTTCATTTTTGGGTGAACTAACCCTTTAAGGTTAAATTTATCCCAATTTTTTTTTGAGCAATTGCATAAACAGCCAGTGTTAAAACCTATCTTCTTGCCTAAAACGGTAAGCTTGTAATAATGTTTTTAATTCCAGTGGGACTGGTGGATTTCCGCGGGAAAGCGTTACGCCGCATCTGGCTAGGCTATGTTGCGTGTGAGGATGCTGGAAGTGGAGATTTATAGCCTTTTCCAGGCCCACTCGAAAACAAGGATAAATATCTGAAGGGCATTAAATGTAGTATTACGCAATGCTTATGTTTTAAACATTAACAATTTGAGAACAAAGTATAATTAATTTGCATGGTTTGACGGGACATGGCCGGCTCTATCCCTTTGGTTGCCCTGGGCGAGATTGATTTTTTGCGATTTTTGGAGGGTTTTTTTCACTAAGGTATGCATGTGTATTTACGGACCTCATTGCCACAGGGACATTTTAAAATTCAGATGCAATCATATAAATTTTAATCTAAAATCTTGATGGTGATAGAAAAAAATCAATTGACTCATAGCCTATGCGTTAACTAATAAATAATTCTAAAAACAAATTATGTTTGGACAATCAGTGGTCTAAGCTGCAGATCCAGCGGTGCGGTGGTCTAGGCTACTTTCCATTGAACAGGCACCTTTTCCCAAAGCAATTTACAGAATACTAATTGCTGTGAGTCCCTTGGAGAAGCCAGAGATAAGTGTCTTGCTCAAGGGCAGTGATGATAGAAGATCTATGAAACTCTCTTTATGGGTCACCCTTATCCAGGTTCATACCTCTGGGATTTGAGCTGCTGTCTCTGACACATAGCCACTAAACTATCTCTGCCTTGTCTTGTTCTGAAAATGTTATGCCAATAAAGTTGACAGCTGCAGTAAGTCTTTCTTTTACACAAGCTCTGGATTATTTTTTTGCCAGTGATGATGATCTGCATTTGTTTTGCTTCGTGTGCTCACATAGCATTTACTGTGCCTTTACTGTACCTATATTATTAAACTGAAATAATCTCTTTTTGAGTTGAATTTAATATAAATATTCATCATTTTCAGAAAAATTCACATACAGCGTACCTGTTTTAAGGACCCTCGACTTCCAGGCAGCCCCCAAATTTATTGTCCCTTTAAAACTTCACAATGCTCCGCCAGGTTATGAGTGCTACATGAGCTGTGCTGCAACGGGCAACCCAACCCCACATATCACCTGGTACCATAACAATGTCAGCCTCAACACAAACCCCAACTACTACATAACAAATGTGTGTGGTGTTTGTTCACTGCTCATCCTGAGGGTTGGACCCAAAGACATGGGAGAGTACAAAGTTGTAGCCGAAAACCCTCTTGGTCATGATGAGTGCTCCACCAAACTTATAGTCAAAGGTATGTTTTCTATTTGAATATTAATTCCGCTATTTATAATGGTTGCAAATTGTGTATTTTTGCAATGACTTTTTTAGGCATTTAACTACAACTTTTTTGTTTTCTTGTCTTACAGAGTAAAGAAAGGACAACTTCAAAGAACTGTTTATGAGATCATATTTCTTTTTGGAATAAATGTAATTTACAGTATGTGGTCTTATTAAAAATAATAACATAACATGTTTCTATCCATCCATCATCCATCTATCCATCTATCTATCTATCTATCTATCTATCTATCTATCTATCTATCTATCTATCTATCTATCTATCTATCTATCTATCTATCTATCTATCTATCTATCTATCTATCTATCCCCTTGAGATGTCTCAAAGACTAGAGGCCATCTATGCTAAATTCAAATGAGAAGACACAAGTCACAGCAGCCTACATCTCAAGTAAAGACGAGGCAGCCATTAGCTAATTTCATTTACATACAATGAAACTGTTGTGATACCCAGATGTAAAGCTCCACTGTCAGTGTTTATCATCAACCAGTCTGAAAGCTTCAGAAAGTCTGCCAAATAGAAAAAAGAAACAAAATTAAATGAACTGAAAAAAAAAACACCTAAACACGATAAATTACCTAGTTCTTACTGTAATACTTCAGCAAATTATTTTATTGTAATAGAGGACTACTGATCCATGGATCAGGATAGATAGATAGAAGATAGATAGATAGATAGATAGATAGATAGATAGATAGATAGATAGATAGATAGATAGATAGATAGATAGATAGATAGATAGATAGATAGATAGATAGATAGATAGATAGATAGATAGATAGATAGATAGATAGATAGATAGATAGATAGATAGATAGATAGAGGCCTATTGACATCAAGAGCAAGACAATGCACTCACAGTGGAGGAATAGGCAGAAAACTCAAAGGCCTATATGCTTATTTGAAGCCTCCATCTAGAAATACAACATTTTCAAAATGTTATTTTGTGTTAGGCTATTTGTTATTTTGTGGATTTTATTTTTATAATACTCTATAACATTAAACCAGATTTTTTTAAATTCTTTCTTAAAATTATGCAATATTCAAAATAAATTAAGCTTTTTTTGTTAAATTATGTATTTATGTAACATTGGGTAAACTAGCCTACAATGTGCTACACAGCGCCATGAAAATGAGACCGCCTCCAGTGCGCAACGCCCCCTACTCACGGTCCTCGGACCTCTTGCTCAAAAGTTCACTTGATTGTTATCCGTCGTTATCGCCCAATACAGCGTTAAGCTCTGGCAGAGCGGTACCAGATTTTATTCAAATCACAGAATAATCACAGAATAGTAAGTGGGAGTGTTGCAGCAGTCTACAGTGCAGATCCTCCGCGAAGCCAAGATGACCAAGCGCAAAGGGAAAAGTGCCATTAAACAGGACGACAGTTTGCTGCTCTTGGAGACGCCATCTGTAACACCACAGAGGGGATTTAAAGAATATGCTGTCCCTGCCATTGTTATCTTTATTTTCGCTGTCGGGGGATCATCGGTACTTTGGCTCTCCATTCAGCAACAGCAAACCATCGACAGTTTGACAGAGACAGTCAATGCAATGCAACTTAGGATAACCAAGTTCCAACAGCAGTTGGGGATGGGTAATGCACAGGTATTTGATTTTGGGATACTCTACAGTTAGTTAGCAAGTGTTTTTTTTACATATATAAATTAACTTTGAAATGAAAGAAATAAGTTTCCTTACTTTTACCCAAAGAAAAACAATTTGTGCTTATTGGAACATTTTGTACTAAGCACATAGTGCTTGGCCAAGTTTATATATTATGGTGTACATATTGTATTATTTGTAATTTGATTGTACAAAATACTTTATAACAAGTCTCAATGCATGCCTCATGTGCCCTTTGAATATTCCATTCGCTGAATAGTGTCACGTGGCTCCCAGGCCATTAATAGCCTGTTCTAAGCAGGATCGTGTTTCCTTTTGCCAGGCTGGCGTGTTTAAAGGACTTTATACAAATGGAATTCAAACCAACATGTAAACATGAAGATATATTAAAAAAAAACATGCAAATTATGCCTCCATCTGAAAGGAGGTCAGCACTGCATTCGTGATCAGAAATGCAATGTATTAATGTATCAATAATTGTCAAGCAATTTTTCTTTCACTGATGATGACCGTTCAATAACTGCAGTACTAACGCTGTCAATTCTCTTTAATAAAGCAATAAGTCTTGTCAACTCTGCTTAAAAGGTCTATACCATCATGGATTAAAGTGCTCATCCAGCCTAAATAATGTTATAGTAAAATATAAAATCATTAGCACAATTAGCCCTTTAAATAATAAATTCATTTTGTTTGAATTGAATTTGAATTAAAGATAATGTCACTACTGTATTTTAAATGTCAGGGGTTTTACAGCAAATACACTCAATATGTGCTTTGTGAAAAAAAAACACTCTAAGAAATCGTTTCATCAGTTGGAGGATTTAGAGGCGTTTTTGGGTATGCTTTTACAGCTTAAATTTCATTTAAAACCTCACGATGCTTTAAAATGTCAGTGGTGTTGGGCTGTTCAGATGTATTATAATACAATTATAATCAAATTATAATCAATATATATACATTTTAATTACAGATTTCTTTAAAAACCTTGGTAACTCTAATCATCTAAAGATAAACACCAGCATTGTTTTTTATAATACCTTCCTTACGAAAATCAACTAAGTAAAAGTGTGGCCGGCGACACATCATCTGAGCTTATAAATTCACCTTATATGTTATATCCTAAATTATTCACAGTGGCCTTATATGAAATGATAATTGAATTACTATAACACTATAGATTGAATGTATGATAGATTAATTTTCAGATGCTAATTGCAAATGTAGATTGACATAACACTGGACTGAACCAACACTTAACAGGCAGCTAGGTTATGCTCAAGATATGGCTAATTGGATGTTGCATAATAATCAGATGAGTAATTGAACTTCATTGAATTTCAAATATGTTGTCTATACATCTAGATCGCCAATGTGGGTGTTTTTGAAGAGCGTCTTCAAACACTGGAAAAGGCCTACACGCAGGCCCAAAAAAAGGCAGACGTCGCCCTGGCCACATCAGAAAAAATCCAATCTACTGATCTTCAAAGCCAAGTCTGGTCTCTTCAGTCTGAGATGAATGGCAGACTATCTGAACTCCAGCAAGAGTTTGTTTCAACTGCAGCTTTGAATTCAGTGGTCAAGAATAAGACTGAAGAGATTGAAACTCTGAAGCAGAGGCTTAATTCTATCCTCACTGCTAACACTGACGTAGCTGTTACCATTTCTGGGCTCACAGACACCGTTTTGGTCACCAAATCACGTCTCGACCAGCAGATGTCTACTGTAGAAGGTCTCACATCTGAGTTGGAGGAACAAAGAATGGAACTTAAAAGCTTGAAGGAATATTTTGTTAGAAACAAGAAAGCTCTTGAAAGGAACAGACAAGAGGTGATGGACATCAAGTGAGTAGGGGTTGTGTGGGATCATATATAATGGAATTCTCTTTAGCATTTTGGGTTTTATCAATTTGGTGTTGTTACTGACACTGATTATTCCTAATTCGTCTTTATTTGGTCTCTCTACCAGGGATCTGCTGGAGATGGAACAGACAAGAAGATCCCAAGCTCTTGAGGAGCAGCTCGTGGCTGTCCGTAGGAATCTGGAGGACCATCAGAGGAGTACTCACAGCCTTCACTCTCACCTTGCTTCCCAGCTTGATATAATCCAGAATCAGGTAGTACTTACTGTTTTGTTTTCTCCATGTGATCATTTGGGCATTTGGCACAATGTTCTTTATGTATTTCAGGTGGTATCTGAAGGCCAGCAGCCCAATTCAGAGGAAAATATTCCAGTAGAAACCCAGCAAGTGGAGCAAGCAGCAACTCAGGAGGAAGTTCCAATCAAGGATCAAAAGGATCAAACCGTTACTGAGGAGGAAACCGTAACCGAGGAGGTTCATGTTGCAGAAAGCGAGCAATTGGTACCTGAGGAGAAAGAGTCAGCTGAGGATGTTCAGTTCCACAGAGAAGAACCTGCTGAAGAGCATGCAGATTTTCCTGAGGAAAATCAAGTAAAAAAAGATGCATCTGAGGAGCAAGTAGTAACTGAAGAGGATGACCAAGCTGATGGGGTTCCATTCCACAAGGAAGAAGTTGAGGAGGAAGCAGTAACTCAACAGGATGAAATACCGGACGAACTGCGGGTATCTGATGAGGAGGAACCAGAGGAGGAGGTTCAAGTCCTGAGGGAAGAAGAAGTTATTGAGAAGCAAGTAGTAACTGAAGAGGATGACCAAGCTGATGGGATTCCATTCCACAAGGAAGAAGTTGAGGAGGAAGCAGTAACTCAACAGGATGAAATACCTGAGGAACTGCAGGTATCTGATGAGGAGGAACCAGAGGAGGAGGTCCTGAGGGAAGAAGTATTTATTGAGAAGCAAGTAGTAACTGAAGAGAGTATGAAACACGAGGAAGTTCAGATCAATGATGGAGATGCTTTTGAGGAGCAAGCGCTAACAGAGACGGATGAAGTAACTGAGGAGATTCCAATCCAAGAAGAAGAAACTGTCATGGAGCAAACAGAAAGCATTCCTTCCGAGGAAGACCCAACTTCCACGGAGGAGAGGGAAATTGAGGAAAGTGTGGCCGAGGCTGTGGAGAACTTCTCACAAGATCATGCTGTTGAAGATATCAGTCAGGAGGCGACACCACAGGAGCCACTAGATGAAATTGTGAATCAGAAAGACTTGGAAGAAGATGTGTCAGACTCTGAGGAAGAAGAACCTGCTGAGGAAGAACAAGATGAAAAAGACAATTCAGCCAATAAAAGTTACCAAGATAACGATTAAAAATTAAAGACTTTTTCTGAGGACTTTAAATGATCCAAATTTCCCACTGAATTACGTGAAACGTGATACTTCACCTTTGTTGAAATGTTCCTCAGTCTTACTTTGTACTCAAAAGTGAACTTTGAACCTAGCAGCGATTTTTCATATCCAGTGATGGATTTGGTTTTCTAGTGATATCTTGAATTGCTCTGTTTACACTGAAAATGTAGATAAGGTTGATATTGTTTTACTAGGTTACACATTTAAAGAATTGCATTTCATACAGTGGTTTGCCAGCTCACTAACCTCAGGAGTGTCACTTAAATAAAACTGCTTTCTATGTTTTTTACTATTTCCATTTCCCTACCTCTCTTCTGGTGTTTAGTTGTCAGTTGAAATGGGACACGTGCTGTGTGTGTGTTTATTTGCAGCTCTTAGGTCAGGGGTTCAGGAATGTGCCGCTGATCTGGGCACTGGGGACATGTGTGTCCCATTTGTAACTATAGTGCTGATTTAAGCTCATCAAATACCTGAAAGATGAGATGGGTTTTGCCCTTAAGCAAACCACAATTCATGTTGAAAGTGAAACTGACATGAAATGAAACATTTTGATTATCTACAGTTGAACAGGAATAGAAGTGATAATGAGAATAGACCAAGATTTAAGAATAATACAAAAAAAGGTAGGCTATGCATATTGTGCCTTAACACTTTAAATATGAATAAAAACAAATTAGGAGCTCAGCAACAACAGCTGTGACAACATTACAGTGATCAATTCCTTCAAAAATGCTTTTCTGTATATTGGAATATATTTAGGTCTAAGAAGCAATAGCAAAATAACAAGTCTGCCTCTAATATATGCATTTTAATATAGCAAATATATAATTTTTGCAATGCACGATACCTAAAAACATTACAGTATTATGGGAAGGCAGACTTTGAAGGCCAATTTCCTCAGGTTAGAAACTTATGATTTTTAAATGTGTTCTATTGAAATAAATAAAAGCAAGAGGACCATATTCTGATTATCTTCAATTAAGATTATCATAAAATTCATTTCTAATTATCTTTATGACGCTAAAAAAAAATACTTGATGAAATTATTTATTTTCTTTTTGTGACCCGGATATGGTCAATGTCGCGACTTTTATTATGAAAAAATAATAGCCGCTCTTGTTTTCCGCTTCATAATATCTATGTTCATAATTCAGTTCGCTTGTAATGTGTAATGCGGGAAGGTGTGAGAGAGAGGGGTTCACTGTCTCCTCGTGCCTCAGTCTTCCCCGCACTGACACTTATTAATGATACCAGGGGGCTTACAGTCACCTCGGGGGGTTTCTGCAGTCCGAAGCAAGTCAGCTCTCTATTTGTTATTGGGGAATGAACGACGAGAAAAGCCCGGAAAACGGCAAGAGAAACTCTGGGTATACCAGGTAAAATGAACCACTCACCGGCTTTTAGCTCAGAAATGACCATGACATATAGATATGTTTTTATTATTTTTTTTAATGGCAAGGCAAACAGAACCCTGACTTTCAACACACTTAAAGTGTAACGTTAGAACATTCACATTACCTAAATCGATAGTTCCAATCACAGTCTAAAAACTGGAACACACCGCACGACTTTGGAACGAATCTGAACCGATTTTAAAATACCAGGCATCATACACGTAGCTACTGACCTTGTAAATGGTTACAGAGGAAAACCTACTCATACAAAACGACTGTGGAGTGTGGACACACACCACTAATGATGGGGAGTCGACTCCAAAAGAGTCGATTCCTCGACCTCCACTCTTAAAGGGGTAGCTCACCCAAAATGAAAAATTAAAAAGTATCCCATTATTTTCCCACCCTCAAGCCATCACAGGTGTATATGACTTTCTTCTTTCAGCAAAACACAATCAGAGTTATGTTAAAAACTCTGGACTCTTCCAAGCTTTATAATTGGAGTGGAGTCCAAAAAGTGCATCATCCATCCATCCATCATAAAAGTAATCCATATGACTCAAAGGGAAACAGTTTTGTAAGAAAGATATCCATATTTATATCTTTATAACTATAATCACTGGCTTTCGGTAACGGCCATATCTAGTTCCGGCCGAAGAGTGCTATCTGACCCGAAACATGATACACCTAGGATCTCTTGAAGGTGAGTAAATTCTATGATCATTTTTTATCATAGAATCATATCATTTTTGAGTGAACTAACCATGTAATTACCCATGTGTTGGAGCACAGGAATCGAAATTAAATTTAAATAAATACGTTTTAGAAATTAATTAGCCTAAACAGCTCTGAGGTCAAAAAAGTTCTTAATTGATGTCATCAGTATGACTACAATTCGAATTGTTGAATCACTGTCTACATCGAACAGTCAGATTAAGGATGTCCAAAATGCAGTTTGCTAGGTTTTAAGACAAAAATTGTGATTATATGATTATACTATACATACTTCTCTTGATACGACCCTGAATCTCTGGCATCTTCCTATTTTGATAAAGGACTTTTACTTAAACTTGTACTGTTATTGTTTAACAGAGGGTAGCAATCCATACCTACCTAGGTTTGTGTAACTGACAGAAGTAGTCTTACCTGAAAAAACAGCACATTTAGAGTCTGATACTGTAGCTTCCTTCTCCATGTGTTTTTATGTTCCTCCGTTCACAGTATTGAGCAAATGCTGGCTGTGAACCCCGGGAAGACGCCCATCAGTCTGCTGCAGGAATATGGAACGCGGATAGGCAAGACTCCAGTGTACGACCTGCTCAAGGCTGAGGGTCAGGCCCACCAGCCCAACTTCACCTTCCGTGTGTCTGTGGGCGACATCAGCTGCACCGGCCAGGGTCCCAGCAAGAAAGCTGCCAAGCACAAAGCTGCCGAAGCTGCCCTAAAAATGCTGAAAGGAGGAATTCTGGGAGGGGTCGAAGGAAATGGGATGGAGGGAGAAGGCTTTGTCGGAATTGATATGGAGGGAGAATGGTAAAGATTCTGTGCTTGAAGTCCATTTGAACAGAAAATGCATTACATGAAGTATAGAAATAAGTTGGCGTACTCTTAAAAAAAACAAAGGTTTCCAGTAGCACCTCATTGCAGTACATGAGATCCAGGGGGCAGAGTTGGATCCAGATCTAAGGGGTGGAGATGGGTAGGATTAGGGGTGGGGTTATGGATCAGGGGCGGAGATGGGTGGGGTTGGGTTAGGAATCAGGGGTGGAGATGTGTAGGATTAGTTATATGTAAGGTGGGAGGAGTTGGATCCTCCCCCTAGATTTTGAGTTCTGCAGTGAGGACCAAACTTAAGGTTTTTCTCTTTACATCGTGTTTTAGCTCTCAGTCAGAGATGAAATCATCCAATTCAACGCAACAAGCTGAGTGCAATCCAGTTGGAGCTTTGCAGGTGAGTGATCATGATCAAGATCATTGGCCTTCACTGAACTGCAGATTGGGTAGATCTTCATAGATACTTCAGTTCATAGCATGCATAATATATAGTTTGATATTTGTGTTTTTAAATATTAGCGTCAACCACTTTTGGCCAATATTGGAAGCAGATAATGTCGGGGCTTACATCCCGTTTATATATATATAAATATATATATACATATATAATTAAGCATACATGTTGATAATCAGCCATAAAAATAATGCAATGTAATTTCCACAGGAACTAGTAGTGCAGAAAGGCTGGCGTTTACCCGAGTACACAGTCACACAAGAATCTGGACCTGCACACCGGAAAGAATTTACAATGACCTGCAGGGTGGAGAGATTTGTTGAGATAGGTACGTACTTATTTTTTTGTCTATAGTCATTATTTCGAAATATGCAAACCATTCAAAGGATTAAATGTTTCTTTGTCAAAACTATGTCTTGTTGCATTGTTTTGAAGGTAGTGGCACATCAAAAAAGCTTGCTAAAAGAAATGCAGCGGCAAAGATGCTCTCTCGCATCCATGATGTACCAGTGGACATGCGTAGCAGCCATGAGGCCGAAGCAGAAGAAGACACTTTCAATTCGGTATGACGGGCATAATTTAGTAATGGGTGTTACACCGTAGTCACAATTTCTGTGTGGTTTCAAGAATTTGCCTGATCTTCTTTCAACAGCAAATGGGCGGCAGACTAGAGGGAGGGAAGTCTAAAGGTCTGGGCTGCACGTGGGACTCTCTGCGGAACTCAGCTGGAGAGAAAATCCTACAGTTGCGCTGCCATCCACTCGGCCAGCCCGACACCAATGACTCCAATTTCTGTTCTCTCCTTCATGAACTTTCTGAGGAACAACGCTTTGATGTCAGCTACCTGGACATAGGTGAGATACAAGGCTGCTTTAATGAGATATTGAAACTACTTTGCTCACGTGAATAAGCAAAACGAGAGCCAACCTTAGTGCTTGCTCAGATTCTGAAGATGGATGTCTTTTAGAAATGTAATCTTATTTGTTCACTCAGAGGAGCGCAGTTTGAGCGGCCTTTACCAGTGTCTGGTGGAGTTGTCCACACAGCCGATTACCGTCTGCCACGGATTTGCCTCCAGCCTGGATGCAGCACGTGCCAGTGCTGCCCACAATGCCCTTCAGTACCTCAAGATCATGGCAGGGGGGAAATAAGCCAGAGCAACTGCTCAACTGTAACTTTTTTTTCCCCTTTCTTTTTTGTTTCCCAGGGTAAAATAGGAAAATCAGGTGAATTCTGTGACGGGGCTTGCTTGTTTGACACAGTACATGTGCTACAATGGTCTGCAAGGCATAATGGTCTGTTGAGTCCCAGTTGGAGGATGTACTGATTACATCTTCTCCTTGAACATGACAAAAAAAAAAAGTCTACCCTCGCAAACAAAGACTGGGTACACTATTCATTTGAAACCTGAGGACAATTTCTACACAAATAATTTGCCCAGAAGTCTTCAACTTTTAACTTTCCCTCTGATTTTCTTTTTTCATTTAAATTATGACATAGATACTGTATGAACTTGATGAATTGATTAAACTAAAATAGGCGGCATGATTTTTTTTTTTAAACTTTGTAAATATTTGACTTTTGTATATTTTAATTTCATCATTTTTTTAGTAATAGAAGTTATTCCTTAACATTTATTTTGTCTCGTAGACTAAATTTGTAAAACATTCTTTTTCTCTCAGCCATTGAAGATGTATCATTTTTTAAATATGAGTCTGACAGTTTGTGGTAAATATCTACCTCGTTGTAATAGTTTCTGCCTCCCAGGCTTCATCATTGGACTGGCAAAGATTGAACTCTGTATTTGAGAGTAACTGTAATTTTCATAATCAGTATAATAGAATTGATGACCAACAGTAGTACTGTGACAACATTTGTAATTTGTAACAAATTGGTTAATCTGCAATTTACTGGATATTTTATCTTGAACAATAAACTTGAAATTGACATTATCTTTTGTATTGATTGTGGCATTTAGTCCTTTGTCATTTAACAAATTCAATTAATCCTAGACAACGGTATTTTACTAGAAAGTGTGTACTAGAATGTGGTCCTGTTCAAATAAATTATTTATTACTATTGAGTAATTACAAATAAAGGCAACGTGTACTGCCGCTCACTCATGTCAAGAATAAGACCAAAAAGTGCACAGAGTGAAAAGCCAAACACAAATAAAGCTAGTTAAAAAACAAGTTAATATGCATCACAGTAGGCTGCTGGGTAACACATTAAAGTCAACATGAAAGCAACATTAATGCATGCTCTAGAGGCCAGTTGCATGTCTTAAAAAACTATTATGATACAAGCAGTTAGCAATCTTACTTTTCAGATTCAAATGAGACCAATCTAATTATTATTATTTCAGAAGCTTAAAGAAACAGTTCACTCAAAAAAGAAAATTCTGTCATTATTTACTAACCCTCAAGTTGTTCCAAACCTTTATGAATTTCTTTCTTCTGCTGAACACAAAAGAAGATATTTTGTGTGCAGATGATGGAACGACGTGGATGAGTAATTAATGACAGAAGCACAATTTTGGGTGTACTATCCCTTTAAAGGAAAAATAGATTCAGTTTATGCAACTGGCCACTGATCGTATTGTGCATGGATATTCCGATGAAAAAGTCAATCCAATAAACTCCTGATGGATAAAACCACTTGCAAACACTATTTCATGTTGACTTAAAAGGTATTAGTAGACACACTTTGTGCCTCTTCATTGGTGTTATGTTTTCTCTGGGGTGAAGAGGGAATGGTGCACATCCTCTTCAGCATATCCACTGCTGTCAGACTGAAAACTGTCCCCTCGCAGAGGCGACGCTGGGAAAGAGAAATGATAAATGTGTAAAAAAAAACGGATAGTTTACATAGTGTCAGCCCAGATCCGGCCCATGACTGGTACGCTTGGATATGGGCCAACACTATGTTGCTGTCTGGGCACCCAATTCTTCTTCAACTGTTTCCGTGAACAAAAACGAAAGTTTGCAGATTTTCTTGTGATTTCCTGTTAGGTTGTTTCCCTGTGAAACGGTTTAGCGATAAGGCAGACAAGATAAGCCGGACCAAATTCTTGCATTTTACCAGTGTTTTTAACAAGTCAGCACAACACCTCCCTTTCTCACCACATCAACACATGCTGCTTTCTGTAACCTTGTAAGGGCGATGTTGCTTATTTTGGTGATAACACTGCATGGCTGATTAACAGATATTCAGTTGGCTTGGTTTTACTTAACTGAAAAAAAAATAGTCAAACTAGTGGCTAAAATTTGCATCACATTTTCTAATCATGGTAATGACTACTCATGTTACTTACATTTGGAATGCTGTGCCGAAACAGACAATGTGACTATGGAGCAGAATTCTGATGAAGTGGCCTCCTCTTCCTCTGCACTGTGAACCTGAATTGAAACACTATACTTAATGATAACACCACAACAGTATTGTTGTGTCAATTCATGGTTACTTTGCTTTAGTTGTATTGAGCATTCCAAGCCAAGATTCACCCAGGACACTCAAAGCACTCCCAAACTGCAGGGGGCATCCATGCAACAAAAGTTGGTGGAACCAACCTTTGGGGAAGTAGCTTTTGGGACTATATTTGCCTGCGCACCCACAGAGAGAGCATGGCATTGAAATGTTTGTGGAGAGTTCAATTTGTTCTCTCATTTATTCCTGGAAAAGGATATTATGATTACAGCTCCTGATCATTTAAAGACGCAACTGGTAGGACAATTTATGATTAACTGTGTTTGAATATGTTGAGTTTTAAATGTTCAGGTTCTGCTTGGTTTGTAATGTGCAATTTAAAGGTTATGAGGATTTTGTTATGTGAATGTTGAACTTGACAGAAGTAACATGTACATGAGTTTAATTATGGGAATGGTATTTTCTTGTTAAAATCCTAGGTTAAACTTAATGATCGTGTTTAGTTTGGTTTGAAGATTCAATAGCATTCATTTATTATTTCTGTGAGATAGTGGTATTGTGATTTATGTGTGACTGATTCATGATGTATATGTAACTAATTCATGTTTGGTTTGTGTATTTGAAAGGTTTTCAACCTATATCTACTGTTCCATCACTGATCTATCAAATCACCTTCAAGAAACTATACATATTATTCCATCACTGGTCTATCAAACCATCTCAAAGAAAATAAAGAATCAAGAAGTGAACAGATTGAGTTGTCCTTTGCGTTCTTCAGTGTGAAAAGCAGTTTTCAAGTTTGGGCTGAGCTGTAATCAATCAAAAAACAAACAGAACTTGACAGTTGAAAACCACCGTGGCAGTGAGAATAAGGATAAAAGGCCTGAAGTCAAGCTGTCAACGCAAAGGAAGAGTTAACTGGAAAAAAAAAGTAGCACCATGGCAAAAGAAACTCTTGGGAAGACAGTCAAGCAACTGAAGCAAGAGCGGACCTTAGCAAAATCAGCTTTCACCAAGCAAGCAAACTACCTGAGTAAAGCTGCAAATGAGATGATTAAAGATGAACTACAAGAGGAGTTCAGCAAACTTAGTTCCTTGGCAAGACACGTCAGTGATGCAAATGAGGACTATAGGTCTGGACTACTGGCTGAAGCAGGGACTGAGGAGGATGGAGAAGTCAAGCTCAATAAGCACCAGCAGGCTGAACTTGAGCAGACAATGGAAGAGTGTGACATGAGACTGAGGGACATCCGTGAGGCAGTCCAAGCCAACCTCTGGCCAAGATATGGTAAAGAGGACGTAGACTTTGCATTTCAAGAAGCGGAAGAGGCCTGTGACAGAGCCCAAGCAAGCCCCGTCACTGCTATCAATAGAGATGGCTATGAACTGCTGCTGGAGAGAGCAAGGAGGCTAATCCATGTTGCAACTGTAAGCCTGAAAGATTGGGAAAAATGGATCCCACATAATCAGACAGCAGACCTGAAAGGCAGATTAAAAGACCTGAGAATATCCGGGAGCAACCTTGAGGCCAGAAGAGCAGAATTCCTTACTGCACAAAGAATTGCAGAAGACCAGCAGCCTCAACCAGCACCAGTTCCCCAACCAGTGGTGAGGATAAAGCCAACCTGTCTACCTAAATTCATTGGGATTAGGAGGAATTTCCATAGATGGAAAAGAGACTGGGAGAGTCTGCAAAAGCAGGGAGAGCCAACTGGATCAGTGGAAGTGAAGAAGTTCCAACTCCTTGACAGTGTGGACGAGAGGATATGTAGAGACCTGAGCTTGACAACATACAACAGTGCTGAAGATATATTTAGAGTACTTCAAAACAGATATGGAAACAAGCCAGTGATTGCTTTGGAGATAATCGAGGACCTAGAGAGGATCCCTCCTTTAAAGTCACACCAGCCAAGGAAGGTAATTGACCTAATTCAGGCTGTGGAAAAGGCCCTGAATGACCTCACGGAACTCGAAAGTATTGGAGCCATAAAGAATCCCCTTGTGATCAGATCCATAGAGAGCAAGCTCCCAGATAATTTAAAGAGGGACTGGCTGGCATTCATGGTTAATCCAAGGAATGGAGTCACACCTGACAATCACTTTGACATCCTTCTAACATTCTTGAAGACACAAGAGGACATTCTAGAGAAACTAGACCAATTGGGTGTAAGTGAAAAACCTGAAAAGAAAGCTATGTATCCAGAGAAGAGGTATGCCTCCACAAAGTCCACAAGGAAAGGAGGATGTGTTGTCTGTGGAGATGAGAAACATCGTGATAAAATCTTCTTTTGTAAGCAGTTTAAAGAACTAAAACCTGGTGAGAAACTGAATGCTATCGAAAGGTTGGGAGCATGCAAGAGATGCCTCAGATGTCATGTAGAGAGTGATGAATGTACAGACACTTACCTGTGCAGGAACAGGGACTGCAGAAGAGGAAGCTCTTCAGATCACCACTTCTTTCTCTGTCTGAAAGGAGGATTCAAGGGGAAGGAATCTGTGAAAGTGGGAAAACCCAGCACCAGGAGGCAAACATTCACAGAGGAGCAAGAGGAACTGATGTCTGAGCTCACCCCGGACATGGCAGAAAAAGTCAGGAGAGCCTTCACCAACATGGCTGAAAAATCAGACGGCACTGGAAGAAGCCTTCGTGGAGTGATGGATTCAAGCACACGTGAGTTGCCAGTTATTCTGATGCTTCTCGAAGTAACCACCAATACAGGACAGAAAATTGGAACTCTCATCGACTTGGCGTCAGATACCAACTACATTACTCATGTAGCTGCCAGGAGATTAAACCTTCAGAGTGAAAAGATCACACTTGTTGTCCATGGAGTTGGAGGCATGGCCATGAAGGTAAAGACCAAAAGATACGTACTCAAGGTACGAATCAAGACTCCCAGAGGCACGGAGAGAGCTCATGAGCTGATCTGTTATGGGTTGGATGAAATTGCAAAAGTTCACAGAGTGATCAAAGCACAGCAACTCAAGAAGTTCTTTCCCGACACCAACCTAGAAGATCTTCACAGACCAGCACATGTTGAGCTTCTCATAAGCCACCGTGAAGGAAGACTTGTTCCACAGAGAGTAAAGGTGGTAGGAGATCTTGTCCTGTGGGAAGGCCCTTTAGGAAAGACCGTTGGCGGAGCACATCCAGACCTCTGTGAAGTAGTAGGTATGGCCCTGCACAATTCTGAAACCCACTTCGCACGATCAATGAGAATCACTGCAGTAAAGTATAAAGAAATTGCTGAGATGCAAAAATCTAGAGCTGAAACCAGAACCACTGTTATTGGCAGGGAGTTCTTGGACTGGTGGAAGTGGGATAGCATTGGTGCAGCCTGTGAACCCATGTGTGGAGGATGCCGGTGTGGTAACTGTCAGCCAGGAGGCAAAGACATGACTCTGAGTGAAGAGAAAGAGCTTGAGGTGATCAGGCGAGGCCTCAGCTATGTGAAGTCAGATGCGCATAGTCAGGAGCCTCACTGGGACACAAAATATCCCTGGATTGAAGATCCAAGTTCCCTGCTTAACAACAGAAGCGCAGTGGAAGCTACATTTCTGAGGACGGAAAAACAGCTCAAGAAAGAACCAGAGTGGCATACAGCATACACAACTCAAGTCCATGAGATGGTGGAAAGGAGAGCAGCAAAGAAACTCAGTAGAGAGACCATTGCTAACTGGAAAGGACCAGTGTGGTACGTCAGTCACTTGGTGGCGCCAAACCCACACTCTGTAACAACACCTGTCCGACTGGTATGGAACAGCAGCCAGAAGTTTCGAGGGATCAGCATGAATGACCTTCTCCTGAAAGGGCCTGATGTACTTAATCCCATTCGAGCAGTGCTACTAAGGTTCAGAAAAGGAGCCCATGCTGCCCTCGGCGACATCAAAAAGATGTACAATTCTGTGTGGCTTGAAGATCTGGAGATGCACCTCCATAGATTTCTCTGGAGAAACAGTGGAGTTGAAGAAATTGAGGAATATTGCATCACCAGGGTCAACATTGGTGATCGACCAGCAGGATGCATCGCACAACTGGCCATGAGAGAGACAGCAAGGCTGCCCATGTTCACTCATCTGAAGGAGGAACGGAGAGTTATTGAGGAGGATTCCTATGTAGATGACATTCTGACATCCCATAATGACCTGGAAAAGCTAAACGAAACCACCAAAAAAGTTGAAGAAATTTTGAAGGCAGGTGGATTCTTCCTTAAGCCGTGGGTCCGATCAGGCCAAAGTGGGAGGCAGACGTCTACATCAGTACATCCAGCATCGTCAGATGGAGTCTTCATTCTCCCCAACCAAATAAGAGAAGGAGACAACAAAGCTCTTGGGGTTGGTTACCTAGTCGAACCAGATAAACTGTACCTTATGACCTCGATAAACTTCTCAAAGAGGAAAAGGAAGATGAGAATGAGCAAAAATCTCATTGAGGAAGAGGTGAGAGGAAAAACTCCAAATCCATTGACTAGAAGACAACTGCTTAGCCAAGTAGCTAGTTTGTATGACCCGATAGGCCTTGCAACACCTGCCAAACAGAAAGGAGCCATTCTGGTCAGGAAAGCATTTCAAGAAGCTGGAGGCAAAACTCTATCACGTGACACATGGGACACACCTCTGTCTGAAAGACTTCGAGAAGAAGCCATCCACCTGTTTGAGGAATACACACGCCTCAACCAAATTACCTTCCATAGAAGCCTCACACCAGTCAGAAGGATTGGAGAACCCTGGGGAATAACTTTCTCAGATGGTAGCGACCAGAGCTATGGAGCTGTTGCATACTTCAGGTGGGAGACCGAGCAAGGCATTCTGGTCCGGCTTGTTGAGTCCAAAGCCAAGCTCACACCACTTGACCAAAAGGGAGAAGCAGTGAAGGCTGAGGTCTGTGGTGCTGTGTTTGCGGCGAGACTCAGAAAATACATTGAAAGGCACAGTCGAATGCAAGTTGAGCGTTGGCTCCATCTGCTGGACAGTCAAACTGTGCTAGGTGCAATCCAAAGGGACAGTTATGGGTACCAGACCTTTTTTGCCAACAGAGTGGGAGAGATCCAGAAGTCCACATCAGTTGAAGACTGGAGATGGATTCCAGGTGAGCAAAACGTTGCTGACCTCACAACAAGAGGTGCAACCCCAGAAGACCTGAAAGAGGATTCTGTGTGGCAAAATGGCCCAGAGTTTTTGAAACGACCTGTGGAGGAGTGGCCGACAAAGTCAGCTAGAGATGTTGCTGCAGAAGCTAAAGAAGGTATAAACAAGCTCCAAAGGAAATGTTTTACAGCAGCACTGACCAGAGCACAGATGAAAAGAAACCAACATGCTCTACCTATTACTACAATGCCAAGATCCCCAATCTCTAATGAAAAGAACGACGATCTGCAAAGCAGCCCTTGTGGGAAAGGAGGGTATCAAATCCAAGTCAGGAGATCACCTTCTGGTTCCTCAGTGAGGAAAATCCTGGACATAGGTAGGTTCAGTAGTTTAAGCAAGCTGATAAGAACCATTGCCTGGGTGTGGAGAGCTGCCACAAGATGGAAGGAAATGCTGGCCAAGACCTCAATCACAAGCAAACCAAATAGGAAGGAGATTCCTTCAGCTCTTGAGATCAAGTCCAGAGTGAAGGAAACAACACTTACCATCATGGAGTGTGAGGATGCACTCAGGGATCTCTTCCTTGCAGCTCAAATGGAGGTAACCTTGCCAGACATCACACTTAGCAGGCTTGCTGTGGTCAGGGAGGAAAGCACTGGACTTTTGCTCTGTGGAGGAAGATTCCAAATCTTTAATGAAGAGAAAACTGCAGTACCAGTCTTGCCCTACACATCATGGGTATCCACTCTTCTAGCTCAAGAAGCCCATAAGGCAAATCATGAAGAAATTGCAGGCACACTCCTCCGGATGAGAAAGAAAGCATGGGTGGTAAGAGGTCGGAAACTAGCTCAGAAGATCGTTGATAACTGTGTGACATGCAGGAGACTTAAGGCTCGAAGATGCCAACAGATCATGAGTGACCTTCCATCAGAGCGAATAACACCAGCCAATCCATTTGAGTACACGACAATGGACTTATTTGGACCTTACGAAGTGAAGGATGAGGTGAGAAAGAAAGTGAAACTCAAAGTGTGGGGAATCGTCTTCTGTTGTATGGCGTCCAGAGCTATGCACACCGACCTTGTTAGTGACCAGTCAGCTGAAGGCTTTCTTCTAGCCTACCAAAGATTTACAGCACTGAGAGGACATCCAAGGAAATTGTGGTCGGATCCTGGGAAGAACTTCGTCGGAGCCAGACCTGCCCTCAAAGAGCTCTACATGTTTCTGAACCGACTGGAGAAATCAAAGCTTGAAGATGAAGTCTCCAAGCATGGCACAGAATGGAGCTGGAAGATCAATCCAGCAGACTCGCCTCACAGAAACGGGGCTGCTGAGGCTGCTGTCCGGATTATAAAGCGAGCTTTGCACAATCTGGGGGGTGATGGAGTCTTCACATGGGGTGAGTTTCAAACTTTCCTTTATATGGCTTCCAACCTAGCAAATGAACGACCTATTGATGCCAGGACTCAGAGCCGGGAGGACTGTGTAGAATACATTAGCCCAAATTCGCTTCTGCTTGGAAGAACTGGACCCAGAGGAGATCCAGGGACCTTTGATTTTAAAAACTATCCTTACAGAAGATTGCGAATCATCCAAACAGAAGTTGACCGATTCTGGAGGAAATGGAGCCAGTTAGCTGGACCAAACCTGTTTGTCCGAACCAAGTGGCACACCATTCACAGGAATGTGGCAGTTGGAGATGTCGTCTGGTTGGCTGACCAGAATGCCTTGAGAGGTCAGTTCAGGCTTGCCAGGGTCATTGACGTCAACACTGACAGGAAGGGAATTGTGAGGGATGTATATCTCCGATCCTTCCCCAGCTACCCAGTCGCAACTGTGAAACCCGCTAAAAAGACACAAGAATACTCAACCAAGATACCTGCAACCGTTCTTCACAGAGATGTCAGACGGATAGTTGTCATACTTCCAGCTGAAGAGCAGCAGTAGCAGCAGGATCCAAAATGGAGTAACTAGACCCGACACATCACAGTTCTGGTGTGACCTCCTTGGGTTGAAGAACCAGGAGGTCAAGTGGGAGGTGTTGTGTCAATTCATGGTTACTTTGCTTTAGTTGTATTGAGCATTCCAAGCCAAGATTCACCCAGGACACTCAAAGCACTCCCAAACTGCAGGGGGCATCCATGCAACAAAAGTTGGTGGAACCAACCTTTGGGGAAGTAGCTTTTGGGACTATATTTGCCTGCGCACCCACAGAGAGAGCATGGCATTGAAATGTTTGTGGAGAGTTCAATTTGTTCTCTCATTTATTCCTGGAAAAGGATATTATGATTACAGCTCCTGATCATTTAAAGACGCAACTGGTAGGACAATTTATGATTAACTGTGTTTGAATATGTTGAGTTTTAAATGTTCAGGTTCTGCTTGGTTTGTAATGTGCAATTTAAAGGTTATGAGGATTTTGTTATGTGAATGTTGAACTTGACAGAAGTAACATGTACATGAGTTTAATTATGGGAATGGTATTTTCTTGTTAAAATCCTAGGTTAAACTTAATGATCGTGTTTAGTTTGGTTTGAAGATTCAATAGCATTCATTTATTATTTCTGTGAGATAGTGGTATTGTGATTTATGTGTGACTGATTCATGATGTATATGTAACTAATTCATGTTTGGTTTGTGTATTTGAAAGGTTTTCAACCTATATCTACTGTTCCATCACTGATCTATCAAATCACCTTCAAGAAACTATACATATTATTCCATCACTGGTCTATCAAACCATCTCAAAGAAAATAAAGAATCAAGAAGTGAACAGATTGAGTTGTCCTTTGCGTTCTTCAGTGTGAAAAGCAGTTTTCAAGTTTGGGCTGAGCTGTAATCAATCAAAAAACAAACAGAACTTGACAAGTATAGAAAACTAGATCTTTACATTAACAGAGGATAATATCAGTGCTGTTTTCCTTTACTAAACTCTTGCTAATGCCTGGTTCAGATGACACGATTTTAGCCTGATTTTGGCACGATCCGTTACGGGATTCGTAAACGATAACGGGTGTCGGGAAGCAAGATTCGATCGTATCATCGACTAATTACCATCTGTCTAGGGACTGCAGATGAAAAATAGCCTTTAGGCTAATTCTGGCATATTGACAGAAATGTCTATGAATATACACTGTCCCTGTACTAAATAAATAAATAAAAGAAAAATAAATAAAAGAATCATCTCGTAAAGCGTGTCATAGTGGGCGACAACCTATGTTGCGTCTGCGATGCTTATAATGACATCACGACAAAAAGACTAGCATGTTTAATTTTTTTAACGGTCGTCCACGAAGGTTCCGTCACATGTATGAGGTTGACCAATAGGAGCACAGAAGCTTTTCCGTACACAACTTTCAAAAATGGCGAAACGAAAGAGACGATGGTGCTAACGTTAAAACTAAAAGTAAAAATAAGAAAACAATATTTTACCTCAAGTTCTCATTGGAGGATTGACAGCCCATACTTTCCTCTTCGAGTAATCCAAACGTGTCCATTGTCGGGTTTTCTTTCTTTTTAAAAAAAAAAAAATTCTGAACACAGGAAAGCCAATTCAACACTCACCGCTTCATCCATTGTTTGTTTACGTTCGTTTCCGTAAGTCACTCGCTACTAGTTTCGCCTTCTCAATGACATCACACGCGCCGGTAAAGACGGCATGCGATGACTGGTCAGGAAGCAACGAGTAGCTAGTCTGACTTGCGTCTTGTCAATGACAGGACAAGATTTTAGGAGTCAAAATTGCCTAATCTGACAGAAAAAAAAATTGTGTAATCTGAACCAGGCTAAGGTGTTCTTTATGGTTTTTAAATTCCTGACCTGAAGTAAGAGCAACAGTAAGAGTGTAAAAAGTAATGGTACAAAAACGTAAAAATTTAAAAACAGCATTAAAAATAGCAACAAGCCGCATTACAATCTCTATGCAAGGGAGGCACACAAAGAGGAAGTTTGGATTTGGATTCGGCAATAAAGAGTTGAGTAATATCCTGTTAATGATGTCTTATGGGAGAACTTGTGTGGGCAAGCTTTTGCTTGTGCCAGAAAAATGCATTTAAATGATAGGAGATATCGTACCTCTTCCAGTTCAAAGGAGTTGCCTTGTTTACTCAGGTTTTGTGGTTTTACCGGGCTTAGGTACCTCTTGATGTTGGACGAACACTGCTCCTGTGTGTCTCTGTTGGGGAGGGTTGTGTCGTCCTCCCATCCAGTGACTGTGATCTGACATAACGACTTGTGTAAATTCATTGCGTTAGATTGTCTTACAAAAGGTTTATTTGTTGTCTGATGTGCTTTGGAGTCCATACTATTTGTCTGTAAGCAGCGGTAAGGTGCCTGATTGACACATTCAACAACCTGAGGACATATGATATCATGAGTAATGATAGGAACAGGTTTCATGGTAACGCCGGATCTTTTCAAATGAAGAGACGGCAGGGAACCACCTTTGGACTCCATGTCTGTTCTTGGCTCCTGGCAAGGTGTACACTCTGCTAATGTCTGCCTGAGGTTGTGTATGTTTTCATTTGTCGTCTCGGATAGTGGATGACAATGTATAGGCTCAAAATAATCAGTCCTTTCAGTGTTTTCCTCATATGTCTTCTCCTCAAGTTCTTTCTTGCTCTCTACAAACCAGTCCAAGTCTTGTTCCAAATCATCTACTTCCATTTGAAGGCATAAATCTTGGTCATTAGCATCGTCATTTTCTGCACTCTTCTCAATTACACCTGACAGACTATATTTACGCTTACGAGGTGAATTGCTTGGTGACGTGGAGTCCGAGCCTCGGGATCCTGTGTACAAGCACATCTTGGAGATAGTGTCTTTTAGTCTTTCAACAGGAGAGCGCGGTTCACTGCGGACACTGGTTCGAGACATGGTCCTCTCCACGATTGGGGAGCTGAAGGTTAACTGGGGTGGCGCAAGCTTCTGAAGTGGCGTTCGGGACACGTGGGAGTACAGCGAATAGAAAGCATTTGCCATTGCCGTCAATGCCTCTACTTGTCGGAAACGACCTGTGCCAAAACAAGATGAGCGGATGTGAAAATGTCTCTAAAGCTTTAGTAGGAAACATTCTGTGAGTAACTCTGTGATTCCTTACTTGCTAATGAAAGACAAGGGTCTTCTTGGTGTATCCTGGTGAGTTGGGATTCAAGGAACAGGCGGAAATTGATGCCTCTGAGCTGGGACGGAAAGTTGAAGAAACGGACTGGGATGCGGGCGGTCACTTGTGGTTCCTCGCAACCGAAACCCAGCTGGAAAAGAGTCTCTTCTGCATCTTCGGCACGCATCTGTAGGACCTCAGACACACTGGTGGATTTTTTGACATCATGAAAAGCAGAAGATATATTTTTTAAAGTATGTGAGAGAATGGGCGTCATTCACAAAGTTCTACACATTCTTCATCCCTTGCAAGTTTATTTGCTGGATAATTAGTGCAATCCAGATACAAACAGGAGTGTAACACTGTATGTCAGTCTAATGAATTTTGTTTTTGTGAGAAATGAACAATGTGAAAATATAATCAGTTTCAGGGTTGGCCTTCTTATTAGCAAGTACTTTTTTTTGTTTTTCCAAAACCATTTACAGTTTCATCAGAAGAACAAATCAATCTTAAGCATGAATACACAGTGAAGGAAATTGTTTTGCTTATTCCTTGTCAGGCACTAATCTGATAACCTTCATCCAATATGCCAGCTAAATGAGGTATTATTTGGTCGATTGATTGCCTTAGCCATGCCCTTACCTGGAAGCAGTCCTGCTGGTAGCGGTTGAGAAGGCACTGGATGCGACACTCTGGCCCATGTTGAACAATGGCAGGTTAAGCTTCTGTTGAGGAGTGCTGTTGATACACAAATAGTCAATGTAAATACAAGGAAAGAAGGGATTTAGAAGCATAAATGAGAAACCACGAGAGAGAGAATGAAGGTGGTAATTCAATGGTGCAGCAAAGTCAACCTGTTTCTTACCTAAAATGTGGTCCACCTGATGCAGCATATAATGCATTGGCTGTGAAATAAATAATAGCAGGTATAAGTGAAGGAAAGAAAATCACTATGTACAATACCCTTCAAATATTTGGGTTCACATTTATTTCTGAAAGTAATACTGAATATTTTAAAGATATTTTAATTAAATAATTATTAATTCTGTTCCTAAAGGATTACTTCGTCACCTAAAGGATTATTAGGAACACCATACTAATACTTTGTTTGACTCAACAAGGTGCTGAAAGCATTCTTTAGAAATGTTGGCCCATATTGATAGGATAGCATCTTGCAGTTGATGGAGATTTGTGGGATGCACATCCAGGGCAAAAAGCGGGGTTCCACCACATCCCAAAGATGCTCTATTTGATTGAGATCTGGTGAATGTGGGAGTCATTTTAGTACAGTGAACTTATTGTCATGTTCAAGAAACCAATTTGAAATGATTCAAAATGGCCATAAAGGGATGGACATGGTCAGAAACAATGTTCAGGTAGGCGCTGGCATTTAAACGATGCCCAATTGGTACTATAGGGCCTAAAGTGTGCCAAGAAAACATCCCCCACACCATTACACCACCACCACCAGCCTGCACAGTGGTAACAAGGCACGATGGATCCAAGTTCTCATTCTGTTTACACCAAATTCTGACTCTACCATCTGAATGTCAACAGAAATTGAGACTCATCAGAGCAGGCAACATTTTTTTCAGTCTTCAACTGTCCAATTTTGGTGAGCTCTTGCTAAGTGTAGCCTATCCGACTCAAGGTTGTGCGTGTTGTGGCTTCACAAATACTGCATACCTCGGTTATAACGAGTGGTTATTTCAGTCAAAGTTGCTCTTCTATCAGCTTGAATCAGTCGGCCCATTCTCCTCTGACCTCTAGCATCAACAAGGCATTTTCGCCCACAGGACTGCCGCATACTGGATATTTTTCCCTATTCACACCATTCTTTGTAAACCCTAGAAATGGTTGTGCGTGAAAATCCCAGTAACTGAGCAGATTGGGAAATACTCAGACGGGTCCGTTTGACACAAACAACCATACCATCACCTTTCTTTCCCATTCTGACATTCAGTTTGGAGTTCAGGAGATTGTTTTGACCAGGACCACACCACTAAATGCATTGAAGAAACTGCCATGTGATTGGTTGATTGGAAAATTGCATTAATGAGAAATTAAAGAGGTGTTCCTAATAATCCTTTAGGTGAGTGTATATCTTAAACTAAACACACTCCTGTCTCAAAAGACCATTTATTCATTACTTCCTGTATCTGGCCTTATGCAAGTGTGTTCCTTTCCAGATGTAGGCCTAGAAATTTTGTAAGAGTGGCTCATTATAATAAACAAGATGTGCTGGAGAGTAAGAGAAGGTTCTCTCTAAAACATAAATGTAGTGCTGCTTCATACAGCGTATAATCAATGCAATCAAACCGACTTGAGAGCCTTACTGACAAGTACAATGACGTCACTCAAGAAAGATGTTTGAGATTATAAAGAACCCAATTATTCAAAATGTATTGAGGTAGCACAGGGGTCTGGTACAAAATTGCCTTTAATTAGCAGTTAGCCAATATGTTGTGGAATATAATGCATACAAAATAAATTCTATGAATATATAGAGTTCAGTTTATGTGAAACTATTAGTCATTCACCAAACATTTTTAGAGGAGAGCTGCTCATTAAATGTGATGTGTGAGTTCTTTTACATTGTTAAAACACTTCCAGCTGTCATTATACTTGAGTTACAGTTATTGTGTTGCTTCTACTCACCTTCTGCACCCAGACTCAGATCATCCTCAAAACTGGTGCCTGTCCTCAAAGGGCCTGTAGGGTTACATATGACAATTTTAGGAGGATTTAGACATGTCACAAAGATGTGATTGTCTATTAGTCAGTAAACACTGGTAAGTCTGCACAGAATCAGCACCTGCCAAGGTTTCGAAAAAGCACAGATTTCTGCAAATTTATAATGGAAATCATTTATTATTTAAAGCTGTACACATCCCCACTCTTGCGTTTTTGTTTTTATCTATGAATTTGATCTATTTTAATACAGTCAAATAATTCCATGGATTTTACTGTACAATCATCCTGTAAAATGTGGAAAAAAAGTGTGTACTGATTTGACATTCATTATGAGGACCCAATGTGTTTTCAGGTTTTAGGCCACACCCCCTACATTATAAAGACCTCCAGACGTCCTCATAATTCAATAAGCTAAATAAACATACTAAACATTTTTTGTTTTAAATGTAAAAATGCAGAAAATATTCAGTGACGGTTATGTTTATGGGTGATAGAAAATATCATTAGCTCAGTATAAAAAACATTACACCTGTGGAATGTCCTCATAATGATGTGTGTACAGATTCTGTGCAGGCCTACTCGACATATTATAAAAATGACATATTTTGCAATTCTGCTCTTGGATGTGCAGGTTTTGTAGTCAAGAACTACCTGCTTTTAGGTGACTGCTTTTGGCAGGACTGGCTTCATTCCTACAGATAAGATGGAGAAAAGAAGACAGAGAGAGAAAGAGAGAAAGAGAGGAAATACAAATGAAAAATTCACTTTTATCAAGTCTGAATAAGCACAGGTCTGTGGGCGGGATGTGGGCATGCAGTGAAATACTGCGATAAAAATAGAAACAGCCACGCACATAAGACGTATTTCAATCCTTGTGGCATTATGTACCGGTAGCCCTTATTAAACAAATGCCAGAATGATAGATTATTAGGTCTTTTGCAAGTTGTCACAGAGACAAAAGTGGCTTTCCAAGCATTGTTCTGTCTCGCATCTGACTACTGCTGCTGTGAATGTTATTGGATATTAATTTACAGGCTTTGAAGAATATAATTCAATACCCTAAATGTTACATGTGCATTAATGTTAAAAAGTTATTTCCATTCCTAACAGATTGGAAAAAAAAAAAATGTGTCGATGCCTAACCCTTTCTGCAGGCTTCTCTATGAACTTGCAATGCGTAAACAGTGAGAAACAATAACAATACTGTTGAATTTTTCTGCGGTTTCCTGATCCAGAAAAAAAGCACAATCTATAAATAGAGAAAAACAATGTAGGTCAAATATTTTTTTTCACAAAAAGCTTTCAGGTGAAAGTACCTTGTGAAAACAAAAAACATGGTCTTTGACCCTCAGAGATTGTTCATGTTTTTTTTAACCTACATGACCGTCAACAAACAAGTTCGAGGAAATTTGTGGTTTTCCATTCACTTGCTGTTATTGTTTTACAACTGATTCACAATTACTGTCACGAAAGACACACAAACACTCACCCACAACCTTGAAGCCAGGTTTCAATCTTTCCTGCAGAGCATCCTGTGGAAACAAAATAAAAACGCACATAGTGATCTTAGCCTGTCTGTTTGAGAGAGAGAGAGAGAGAGAGAGAGAGAGAGAGAGAGAGAGAGAGAGAGAGAGAGAGAGAGAGAGAGAGAGAGAGAGAGAGAGGTGTAAATGAGCTTTCTGGTTTTGGAGTTTATCTAGTGGTAACCATGTACCGTTTGTGGTCTATCCTTTATCTCTCAAAGCAGCAGTTATAATAGGCTTCATTTAGGGGCCTAATTCAAATTGCTGCAATACAATTTTATTAACATTTGAATGCCAAATAACCTCCCGATCTATAATTGTGAATTTTTATTGCTGCACATCTAATAATGTTTTGCTTATTTACTAAATAAAGCATACTGTAGTCCCAAAAGATATTTGGACTGCACGACTATCATCAACAAATTATCAGGCCAAGTGCAGTTTCCAAGCAAAGCATTTCACTAATGAAATAATTTTCTTTAAAACACACACAAAAGTAAAGCCTTGTAAACACTTAAATCAGCCTGGTTGCATGTAGTTTTGAATTTCTTGGTAAAGAGGAAATAAGATATGCAGCTTATTTCCATATTATAGAACTATTGACACAGCTGAATGTCAAACATTCATTATCCTGATGCTCACCATCCACAAAGACATCATCTTGGAGAGAGAAATGAGGCTGCAGTTCTGCTGTTGGGCTGCGGTGTTCTGCATCTCTTAAGGTAAACTTGCGGCGGCTGCTGCTGCTGCTGAGCGCCCACGCCTGTCGCCTCTCCGTTTTCGAAGGACTCTCCATCTCTGTGGCCACCTGCCATGAGAAAGGACTTCTTACTGGATCATTTAACAAAAAAAAAAAAAAAAACATTTTGCAGATGGTTTTAATAGACCCCAAAAAACCAGAAACAAATATAGAAATCACCCTTAAATGTAAACCGAGCAAATGGTCCGCTTTTGTGTAAACTTTATTATGCATCCAAATAAATTTTTAAAAATTAAAAAAAATAATTGTAGCCTTTAGCACTTTTCACAATTCACATGTTTCAAAGCAGCTTTATAGACAATTGTGCTGTTCATGTGTATAATAGACATTAATGCTAGATTAATCGTAGAGGTACCTTTCCAGGACTGTCATTTATAATTACAAATTAAGTTTACTTTTATACCTCAAAAATTGAGACACAACAACTTAGCCTATATCTGTGTATCTGTGGGCGAAAATGCCTTGTTGATGCTAGAGGTCAGAGGAGAATGGGCCAACTGATTCAAGCTGATAGAAGAGCAACTTTGACTGAAATAATGACTTGTTACAACCGAGGTATGCAGCAAAGCATTTGTGAAGTTACAACACGCACAACCTTGAGGCAGATGAGACAGAAGACCCCACCGGGTACCACTCATCTCCACTACAAATAGGAAAAAGAGGCTACAATTTGCAAGAGCTCACCAAAATTGGACAGTTAAAGACTGGAAAAATTTTTGCCTGGTTTGATGAGTCTCTTGTGTTTGCGCAAGCAAATTTTCAAATCAAATTTTTCCAATGTCCCTGTAGCAATGAGTCATATTTGAAATATGTAGCCTACAATAAAAATGATAATGGTTATGTAATGTTTATGTTTGGCCAATATTTCTGAAAAAGATCCTGACAAGAAGTTTTCAAACGATGTTGCTATGGTTACATGTTAATAGCTGCATCTTTATAAGGTCTAGACCTTATTAAAAGCAGCGCCATCTTTGTAGCCTACTGTTATTTAATGCGTTTTTGGATTGTTCTGCTGACGAAACACGACAAAAATATCTTTCCAAGAAACTAAAGTAGACATAAAACTCCAGACATCATGAGCTGAGGAAAACTATAGTGATTTAGTTCTTTTATAGGCTACAGGTTTTTTTTTTCAGCAGATGCCATTCAAAACACGGCAAGTCTTTCCCTTACATCGCTTTCATTCTCATGGCGCTGCTCTGAATAAGGTCCATAGATGAAAGTCATATAAAAAAAAATTAAAAAGTGAAAATACACATCTCAAAACCTTTTAAACCAATAACTACAATTGTGTTATATACATAAATAAAACTATACTAAAGTAACAATGACAATGTTTTGTTAGACTGAAAATAAATTTTTGAGTTATATGGTTCCCCTCATCTTTTTACCATATGCCCCATAGGCTATAGCTACATGGCTAGCTTTTGTAGTTACTAAAATGTTTAAAGGCAAAACTGAGACACAACCAACCTACCTAATTTGCAACTGGCTACGTCCTTATATCCAAGCCTAAATAAAGCGCCATACAAACCCTGCATCTCTTTATTCACCTCACCCTCCCATTCGCACTCTGTTTTACATAGAGACAGCTTGCGTTATAAAGGAAATCACGCTCAAGCAGCAATCGCTGTCGATAGAGTAACACCACGTCTCCATATTACTTTCAATTAAGATATATCCGTTATATTGTTTATTAGGGGATTAAGATTAGTCTGAAGTGTCTTCACACACATACAGAGAGAGAGAGAGAGAGAGAGAGAGAGAGAGAGAGAGAGAGAGAGAGAGAGAGAGAGAGAGAGAGAGAGAGAGAATACGGAAGTTTATTAGTTAGTCTTTTCTAAATGATGGTTTCAATTGCGCATCAAGCCTACCTTAAAAAGTGCCTCGGTCCATTCTCATGGCATAATTCACCGCATCCCGCTCACACGCTCATCTTAAAGGATGTCCATCGCAGAGAACTATAAGAAGCAAATTGAGAGCCATGGTCGATTGAGCCGCCAACGCAAACTTTCGTTCAGCTTACAGTCATGACGCGCTGTTAGCCTAACTGACGGAAGCGGTAGGAGGAAGATGTGCTGACAAGAATATAAGAGAACTCTGTTGTGGCCACACACTGGTGTAGGAAATACTGTTACACACCATTTACTGAGCAAGATTTATCGATTTAGGCATAGTGTACAAGATTAAATCGAGGCATAAAGGCACAGTGCCTGAAATTAAGGAAGGCTACTTTCTATTCAAAAGCCACTTGTTTTTAACAAGTTATCAGTTTTCGTCACGGCTGTCCGTTATTGTGGATTTGTGAAGTGTATGTGTGACATTGGCCTGCTTTACTGTAAAATAAGTGTTAGATTTGAAGATATCAGTGACACTGCCAGTAAACTGCAACTGAGTTAGTCACCATCAAAACTGGCAATTCTTCTTTTATGGAATATTGCATTATTCATTATGAATTATTTTTTCCATGCATCAATTAATGTACACTCGTAACCCTCTCTTCTCAATGAATTTTTCAACTATCCCAAACAGCTAACCAAAGCATCAAGGCAGGTGTGGTAAAAAAAAAAGAAAAAAAAAAGGCTTGATATCCTCCACTGTAGCCCATGTATGTTTTCATTCTTTTTTGCAATATTAAAATATACAGTCTTGTGTATTTTTTAAACTTTTGAGGAGGCAATTTTGATATTTCAAAAGAGTGGAGTGGTAGAGGGAAAGGACAGGGATAAGGTGAAGAGCGGAGGAGGGAAAAGAGATGAAGAGAGAGAAATAGCAGAGATGTAGGATGAGGAGAGTAGGCATTGAAAGAGCAAGAGAAGTGAGCATACAGGAAGGGTGGATGAGGAGAGTTGAGAGGGAGCGAGACTGAAGAGGCTCAGATGGGATAAAAGCTTCTCTGATCATGTTATGAAACACAGAACAGAGGGTTCAAACTAATGTGAGCAGACCAGTCTGGCCACAATTTCAACAAAAAAAGAAGAGGAATGTCATAAGGATGCCACGGCCAAGAAAAGAATCTGTGTAAAAAGTTTCATAACACAGTAAAGGTTAAATAAATTAAGACAGCTGCAGTCATTTAAATTGTTTTAAGACTGTAAAATCTGTAAATGATGCTGTAATTATAATCACCCTTTAAAAGTTATTTAAAATAATAATAATACTTTTATTTAGCAATGAGGAATTAAATTGGTTTAAAAAAAGTGGCAGTAAATACACCCATTAAAGGAGTAGTTCACTTAAAAAAAAAAAAAAAAAAACTTTTGCTGCGAATTTACTCACCCCCATGTCATCCAAGATGTCCATGTCTTTCTTCAGTCGAAAAGAAATTAAGGTTTTTGACGAAAACATTCCAGAATTTTCACCATATAATGGACTTATAATGGGTACCAAATGGTTCAAGGGCCAAATGAGAATTTCAGTGCAAACTCTCAGTTTTTTAAGTAAACTACTCCTTTAAAGATTTCTATTGCAAATAAATTCATTTTTTTCCCTCTTTCACATTTTTCACAAAAGTAATTTGCATTGAAACTAAAATTCCTAAAATTCTTTTTGAAGGAAAGAGCAAAGATAGTGTTTGCAACAATGTACTGTCAAGAGGAAAACTGAAGAGCACCACAATAGCACTTTCTTGTTGTAAATCTGTATTTAAACACTAGGTGTCAGTGTGTGTTCACTTGTAATCAATACGGTTTTTAGACAGTTTTACGTCTGGCAGTTTTTTTGAGAGACTGGAAAAATCATATATTGTGATTTATCATTTAGCTGAAGAGTTTGTCTAATTATCGGTCAAATATTTTATAATATTGCTTAATCAGATTTTTGCCAAAGGAAGAGTTTAAACTTTTAGTAGCCTACATTCACAGATTCATAATGGAGTTTTAATGTGCTTTGTCCCCAGTTAGACTTTAAAAATATGACTGATGGGTCTGTACGTTATATTAGTTCATTTATAATTAAAATGTACAGTCTCTGTTACTGAACCAAACAATATTCCAAGATCAAATTAAATTTAGTCCAAATCCAAATACGTGACCTATTTCATCCCAGTTTAAATTGCTTATTTGGCCAAGCCATTTCATTCAACAAATAGAAAGCAGTCAGGCCTATTCTTCCTTTCTTGAAAAATAATTGACTCTGGGCACTAGTGGGCTCACAACTTCTCATTGGTAACAAGGAAAACTGGAATGTCTTTAAAGCTATTGCCATGGTTTGAAATTGAGTTTTTTCAGAGAGTGTTAAAATTATAAATCAGTTGAAAAGATTGTCATACAAGAAGCAAATACATTTTCCATCACCAATTTATCATGTTCATTAATATCCACATCCACGTCAAATCCACTTGTTATAACACACATATATTTAATAAATACAATTTAATTCTTTTCAAATGAATCGCAGCGACAGCTTTATTTACAGATTATTTCTACAAAATACTGATGTGGGAACTGTTGAACATCACAAAAAAGTCATAATTTACTCACCCTCACATCCATATTCCTTCTCGGGAACTGATCTCTGAGCTGCTCTTAACTTTATGAAGAAAGCATGTCTAGGACCCCCTTGAAAATGAGATATTACATCTCAAGGGGATATCCTTTCAATAAATTCACAAATTATGCGTTACCATGTTGTCAGTCTTCATGAAAGCACCACAAAAGTCACAAGTACTGTAATACACTATAGGCTACTCAAAGTCTTCTGAATCCATGCAAAAGCTTTTCATTTAAAATGATAGGCTACTGTAACCCCTGTAGCTCTTGGATCTCATTTGTGCACATGCACATTTAAACTCATGACACGTCAGGTTTGAACATTGACTGCAAATGACATTTGGCATGTCTGTTCCTAAAACTATTGCATGGCTTTAGAAGAATATAGCACCAAAGTTATTCAAAATCATTGATTTTGTGATCCACAAATGAAGAGAAAATCAAATGGGTTTGAAAGAACGTGAAAGTGAGTGAATAAAAACGCACCTTCACATAAAATATGGAAAAAGTGCTCATTCTGAATTCATGATGTACTTTATGAAGTGTGGTTCATAACTTCATATACTAGAATGAATGGTGCTGACAAGTTAAAGGCGTAGTTCACTTTTAAAAAAACTTTTGCTGATAATTTACTCACCCCCATGTCATTCAAGATGTCCATGTCTTTCTTTCTTCAGTCGAAAAGAAATTAAGGTTTTTGATGAAAACATTCCAGGATTTTTCTCCATATAATGCACTTTACTGGTAACCAAACAGTTCAAGGTCCAAAAGACAGTTTCAGTGCAAACTGTTCAAAAGGCTATAAACGATTCCAGATGATGATAAAGGGTCTTATCAAGCGAAACGATCACTCATTTAATAAATAAATAACAAAGTTTAAGTTTTATAAGCTCAAATGGTCGCCTTGCTCTGTTCTATGATGAGAGTTCGCGACTCTCCTGTTCGAACTCGTTCATCAAAACGTTCATCATTTGGTTAATTCAACGAACGAAATGAACGAATTGACTCGGAAAAAGATTCGTTCATTTTGATGAACGAGTTCGAACAGGAGAGTCACGAACGCGCATCACAGAACAGAGCAAGGCGACCATTTGAGCTTATAAAAATTAAAAAACTTTTGTATATTTTTTTTTTTAAATGAGCGATCGTTTCGCTTGATAAGACCCTTATTCATCGTCTGGAATCGTTTAAACTCCTTTGAACAGTTTGCAATGAAACTGTCTTTTGGACATTGAACCACTTGGTTACCAGTAAAGTCCATTATGTGGAGAAAAATCCTGGAATGTTTTCATCAAAAAACTTAATTTCTTTTCGACTGAAGGAAGAATGACATGGATATCTTGGATGACATGGGGGTGAGTAAATTATCAGCAAAAGTCTTTTTAAAAGTGAACTACTCCTTTAAGAAATATTACGGTCAACAGGTCAAATGCTGTATTTAATTGCAGTGTATTTAAAGCGCTTAAATGTTACCTGGGGCCGGTTGCATAAAATAGTTTACTCATCAAAAAAAAAAAAAAAAAAAAAAAAGTAAGACTTTCAGATCAAGCCGTTGTGATAAGAACTTACAGTTAGTTAGTTATGGGGTCATCAAATTAGACCAATCTACATTTTTCTGTAACAGACATTATGTAAGTCTGAAACCGAAGATCTTTGTTTGTACCAGATCTCAGAAAGTTAATGGAGTTGTTCGGTTTGCCAGGAGCTTCAGAACTCATGCATGCAAGAGACAAGCACCTAATTGTTTAGGATTCTGCATCCAGCATCCCTCCATTAGTCTACCTCCACTTTCATTTTATATAGGCCTACTTGAACCCTTTTAAACAGAATACATTTCATGCAAAAGCAAAATTCTGTCATTGAGTAAAAATTCTTGTGTTCCACAGAAAAATTACAGCGTACAGGTTTGGAGTGACATGAGTGTGAGTATTTCATCTAATGGCAGAATTTTCTTTTTTGATGAACTGTTTCTTTAAAAGACCTGATCACACCAAGGAGGACAATAACCTCAATACATTCTCACCCCAAGGCGTCACCTTTGACCATGCTTCAATATTTGACGTTTTAGGCGCCCTTTAGCGTCACTTGCATGACGCGATCCTACGGCGTCATCTAACTGACGCTAAAGGAAAGCGTCAGTTAGAGGACGCGGTTAGGTTTAGGTGTGGGGTGGGGGTAGGGTACACGCGATCCTAGGGCGTCATCTAACTGACGCTAAAGGGCGCCTAAAGCGTCGGATATTGAAGCATGGTCAAATGAGTGAGAATGGGCTGGATAATAACTGTGATAAAGATATAGAACTAAAAAAATGTCTAAATATGAATGACTAGCAGAGTCCACACCACAAATATAATGATAACAGCATAGATACATTATATCTTGGAATCACTTTCAGAACAATATTTTTCTAGCTGATGAATGATAAAAACAATGACAGCCAATCAGAATCCATCCTGCTTTTAAAGTGGCAGGCGACATAACTGCAGCAGACGATTAGATTAAACAGATCGATATCATCCACTGGTGTGGATGCTAATATAGTTATCGTTCTATTTATCTGTATAGTTATCAATC